AAAGGATCTAGTGTGTGTCTGGAATGTAATGTGTTTAGGGGTGCAGTGTGTGTGTGAGGGGTGCTGTGTGTGTGAGGGGTGTTGTGTGTATGTGTATATATATATATATATATATATATATATATAGTTTATATAAATATGTTTGGAAGTATTGTGTATGTGTGTGATGCAGTGTATCGGGGGGCTGTGTGTGTATGTGCGGGGTGCAGTATGTGTGTGTGATGGATGCTGTGTGTGAGGTGTGAGCTGTGTGTGTGAGGGTGCTGTATGTGATTGATTTGTGTGAGGGTGCTGTGAGTGTGGGTGCTGTGTATGATGTGTGTGAGAGTGTTGTGTGTGATGTGTGTGAGTGTTGAGTGTGATAGTGCTGTGTATGATGTGTGTGAGTGTTGAGTGTGATAGTGCTGTGTATGATGTGTGTGAGAGTGTTGTGTGTGAGTGCTGAGTGTGATAGTGCTGTGTATGATGTGTGTGAGTGCTGAGTGTGATGTGTGTGAGAGTGCTGAGTGCTGTGTGTGTGAGTGTTGTGTGTGAGAGTGCTGGGTGTGAGAGTGCTGGGTGTGAGAGTGCTGTGTATGATGTGTGTGAAGTGTGTGAGAGTGTTGTGTATAAATGTTGTGTGTTGGGGGTAAATAAATAAAAAATTAAGTGGGGGAAATAAACAATAAAAAAAAAATAAACAAAAAAATAAACAATAAAAAAACTAAGCAAAAAAAAAACAACTAAATCCCCCCCTCCCTTCTTACCTTTAGCCTGGGGGGGGCAGGCCCGTGGTAGCTGGGATGGGGGGGGGCACAGGCACTCGTACACGATCCCTGGCGGTCCAGTGGTGAGTGAACACTCTCGCGAGATCGGGGTGTTGCCCTGGCAACGCTCCCGATCTCGCGAGAGGAACCCGGCGGAGCTGCAAGATAGAGCTCCGCCGGGTCCTCTCCCTCCCTCCCCAGCCACAGGTCTATTTAAATGGGCCGGTGAGGGAGATCTTTGATCTCCCCACCGGCCCTCCATGGAAGACAGCGGGGCCGGCGCTCGCATAGCGCCGGCCCTGCATAGACCGGCAGGGGAGATCCTGGGACCTCCCCTGTCGGCCTCGGCCCATGGCCACCGCGGCCCACCGGGCATTTGCCCGGTGTGCCCGATGGCCAGTCCGGGCCTGGTTGACAGTCTCAGCCAATCCTATGGGGAAGTATTGTAATTTGCTCAGACCACCACTTCTGAGCCAGCAGCTGCAGAATTGAATACAAGTAATATTTTACTATATTTAGGGAGGCAAGAAGGGGCCAGGGTGGTGGTTTTAACATAATAGGGTCAGAAATACATGATTGTGTTCTTGACCCTATAGTGCTCCTTTAAGCAAGAGTATGTGAAGAGTAGTTAAGGTTGCCACCTTTCTTGGAAAAAAATACCAGCCTTAATAATTTGTATAATTAATTAGTTATGCGTGACATCACATGATGTAAATCACAAGGAGTGACATCAGAGAAAATTCTGTAAAATCACCAAACTACTCACAGTTTGATTCTGCTGTACAGATGGATTGCTCCCAGTGTCTCCCTGTCTCCCAGTGTCTCAGTCTCACAAGTCACCCAGTGTCTCAGTGTCCCTATGTATTACAGTGTCAGTGTCCCCATGTCGCCCAGTCCCCTAGTCTCCCAGTGTCTGTGTCCACATTTCTCCCAGTGTCCCAATGTCTCAGTGTGTCCCCATGTCACTAGGATACTGGGGACACTGAGACATTTAGGGAAACTTGGAGAAATGGGGACACTGAGACACTAGGGACACAGACACTGGGAGACATGGGGACACTGAAACATTTGGGGACACTAAGACACTAGGGACACAGACATGGGAACACAGGGAGACTAGGGGACACTGGCTGGGAGACAGACACTTGGGGACACTGGGAGACATGGGGACAGTTGTGGACATAGACATGTGGACACTGGGACATATAGGGACACTGGGAGACATGGGGACACCAGGCACACTGAGACACTAGGAACACACTGGGAGACGTGGAGACACTGAAACATTTGGGGACACTAAGACACTAGGGCCACAGACACTGGGAGATTAGGGGACACTGGGAGACTAGGGGATACTGGGAGACTAGGGGACACTGGCTGGGAGACAGACACTTGGGGAGACATGGGGACAGTTGTGGACATAGACATGGGGACACTGGGACACATGGGGACACTAGGCACACTGAGAGACATGGGACACAGACACTGGGAGACTTGGGGACACTGAGACACTAGGGACACTGGCTGGGGGACATAGTGTCTCCGTGTCCCAATGTCTCCCAATGTCCCTATGTCTCACAGCATCCCCATGTGTCTCAGCATCCCCATGTGTCTCAGCATCCCCATGTGTCTCAGTGTCCCCTAGTGTCTCAGTGTCCCCAGGTCTCCCAGTGTCTGTGTCCCCATGTGTCCTAGTGTCTCAGTGTCCCCTAGTGACAGTGTCCCCATGTGTCCCCTAGTGTCTGTGTCCCCTAGTGTCTGTGTCCCCATATGTCCCCAGGTGTCTCAGTGTCCCCATGTTTTCCAGTATCCCCAAGTGTCTCAGTGTTCCCAGGTCTCCCAGTGTCTGTGTCCTAGTGTCTCAGTGTCCCCTAGTGTATGTGTCATCATGTGTCCCCTAGTGTCTGTGTCCCCTAATGTCTTAGTGTCCCCATGTGTCCCCTAGTGTCTCAGTGTCCCCTAGTGTCTGTGTCCCCATGTGTCCCCTAGTGTCTCAGTGTCCCCTAGTGTCTGTGTCCCCATGTGTCCCCAAGTGTCTCAGTGTCCCCATATGTCCCCTAGTGTCTCAGTGTCCCCATGTGTCCCTGCTGCCTTTCCCCCGATCCCTCACTTACCTGAGCTCTAGAGCTGCTGCCTGGACTCTCTGTGCTGTGTAGCTGCTCCCCCACGGATCAGTGAGTAGTAGAGAGAGGCCTTCCTATCCCTGCCTCTCTCCACACACAGTGACCCCTACTGGCCGGTGCTGATATTGCAGAGTAATTTCCATTTATTCTGAGAAAATTACCTGCATTTGTATTGCTGGTATTACTGCAATACCGGCAGGGCCAGGCAGCCTCAAATACCGTCTGTGCCATTAAAATACCAGTCAAGTGGCAAACCTAAGAGTAGTGTGTAAAAAAAAAAAAAAAACTACAAAAAAATAAATATTTTTTTTTTTTTTTTTAATGGGCCTATTCCATGGGCCTGGAGCTGCAGCTCCATCAGCCCCTATGTTAATCCGGCCCTGACTATAGTGTCCCTTTAATTCAGAGTGACAAGTTGCTGATTTTGCACATTCATTTGATAGCCTACTATCAGGCTATCATATATAGCACTGACACTTATTTTTATGAATCATTTCTAGATAAAGACTTTTAAGGAACTTTATTTGTGTATAGCTGCTAAACCATATTATTATAGTAAGGAATTTTAAGTTATTACGTTTGCGCTGTCCTGTTCCATTTTATTTACTGACAATATCATCACTGTGATATGTTTTACGGCTTTGAAACACTAATATTTGTGTCCAAGTCTCCCGAGTAAAACTGTACCCCTCATGTACAGGTTTTAGGGTGTCATGGAAAGTTACAGGGTTAAATAGTGCTAGCAAATTAAATTCTCTGGACTTTTAGCCTGGGTTGTCAGGCAGGTCCCTCAAATTGCAATCAATAAAATTACTTGTATTTCAGAGCAATCACATGGCCTGCGAGGCCTAATTTGCCAAGGGGGGCTGTCAGGCAATCCCCCCAGACTGGAAGCAACACGATCACCGGCGGGGGAATGACGGCGATAGGGTAAGTGCATAGGACGGCTCAAGGACCGTTTTTTGTCGGACGTACCTAGTACATTCGCAGTTCTTAACGAGTTTAAGAGGACACTACAGGCATCTCATTGAAGTGCTGTCCCCTTAACCCTGCTGCTGAAAACATTGCACTGCAATGTTTTTCTTGCAGGATTAAGACTGCCTCTAGTGGCTGCGTACCAGAGAGCCACTAGAGGCACTTTTTGCTGTTTCACAGAGTTTAACTCTGTTAAACGGTGCTGGTCGGACTCACGCGTTGCATGAGGATGTCCATTGTCTTCCAAATCCCCGTAGGAAAGCATTTATTCAATGCTTTCCTATAAGAAAATCCTAACACTCTTGATAGCTGTGGGTGAACAGAGAAACACTCTAGTGTTCGGAATACAGCTTTATATTCCTAACACTATAGTGTTCCTTTAATTGTTCTAGTCTTCCACTGTCTCAGAGACAGATTGGGAAAGGAATGTAAAAGACTAAATTATAAAATTACTATTTATGCGGGGAGGGAGGGCTGCAAGAAACAAGCTCAACTGCACGCTGACGACAGACATACCTTTTTGCACAGAATTCACATTAGGCAGGAAGAAGCAGAGTTTTAAGATGCAACTAGCCCCCAGCACAAAAATGTAGATTACTCTATATGTGCAGCATATCAAAGAGAATCACTGAACGTACAGACTCATACCACAATGACCACTTGTAAAAGCAGAAGTGGTCATGGTGGTTGGAACAACCCTTTAACTTGTAATGGGAAGAAAATCTGTGGTTCCTTAACAGGGAAATGCAGGAGAGGTGTATCTTCCTGCACTCACTTTCCTGAAACATGATTGATGGTGTCTGCATGAGACGGGGTAATGGAAATAAATGCAACTATATGCTGTTAACAGTTTCACAGTAAGTAAGAAACAACAGTATAACATGAGTTAAGCCAGATGGTTAAAAACCTGCAAACCTTTATCTGTAGAGCTTTACTGTTTTCCCCTAACATTAAACTTGCTTTGACGACAATTCACGGCGCTTGAAATGACAGGAGTTCGAGTTTATCATAACACTATCAAACTACAAACTAAAATCGTAAAAAATCTTTAGCCGATATTAGAGTCTCTTATTTAACGTACAGTATAGCTAGTGGTTAATTAAACCAAGATCGAACTTTCTAAACGCTCTAACTATTACGCTGGTAGACTTATCCCTAATAATTTTATTCCAGGACTTTTTATATCCCAGAACTCCAGCTCTTCCTGTGACTGCACCAACCCCACCTGAAACTGGGGTGTGGCCGAAACCCTTGCTCGATACACAGTTCAGGGCTGTTCCAGGAACTCAGCGAACCCCCCACTAACACTTTCTATATCTAGGGTTTACCGCTCCCTCACACTGACTAAACTCACTTTCTGAACCCGCTGACGTCACACTGATAACCGAGTCAGGGAGAGCGAATAGTTCCCAGTTACGGTCACTTTAGTATTGCCATTAAGGAGTGTTAGGCAGACTAGGCGGCAGGGAGGAGCCCGCAGACAGGAACTGCTCTCCTCATCCTGTTTCCTCCCTCTGATCTCGGGCTGGGATAAATTGGAATTTGTGAGTTTGGACAAAGCGCCTGTCCGTGGCTTGAGGCCGCCCTTTACCCCCCAGTCCTGGTCTTCGTTGTCGAGTTCGACATCGTAGCAGGTGAGTGTAGGTGGGCAACTTTTCCCCAAAGTCTCCCTTCTTTCTTTTAAACTAGTTGAACGTTCCTTTAGGATTCCATGCGCAGTTATACTGTATCAAGCTGGGATCTTGTGTAATATATGGGTTCACTTCATGTAGACTTTTATTTACTTTTCTTACCAGAGTATTTCTACATTATTAAACTTTGTTTAACCCTTTCTGTGCCAGAGATGAACCCCCAGTGTCCTGGACACACCTCGTTCTTGGCACTGAAAGGGTTAAAGCTATGGTTAGATCAGCCACCTATTCGTACTCGGGTGAGTGATCTTGTTGTTTTCCTGTCCAGGAGTTGTTTGTAAAAGTTGGCATTATGGTGGAGGTGAGGGTGTTGTCCACATCCCTGTCTTCCGGCGCCATGTATGATGCTGTGGAACTACAGTTCAGTCCTCAGGCCCGATTCGAAGTAGTGGAGGCGTAGGGAGGGGGGTCTGAATCACATTTTTTCTTTGGGCCAGCCCTCTCCCTTTTTTATTTTTTTTCTCTCTCCCCTCCCAAACCTGGGTTTACTTTTCAGACTTCCCTTTTTTTTAGTTTCGATTAGACCAGTACTGGTTGTACATGGTATGTTGGATTTACACTGATACATATTTAAAACCAAAGTTTATTCTCTATAGCATGCATACTTTTCAGGGTAATTTGATAAGCTGTGAATATTGAGGAGTTATTTACTAAGCTCCGAACTTTGGTAAACCAGTCTGTATTTGTTGCACGTTTAAATCCGAATGGCAATCTTGAGTCTACGTTAGCCGATTTGGAGAATTTCTCTGAATCGGCTATTTTAGCCTTAATTTTATAACTTGGATTTTCATTTGCTTCAACTATAGTTTTAGTGAATAACCCTGCAAGATAGTTTCGAAATTTAGGTCACAATAGTTATACTGAACATATAGCTGACTGGGTGACTTTTGTTTTCCAGTTCGGCTATTTTGAAATCCTTACCATGTGTAAATAACTAGTGAATAATCTTGAGTGTCTGCAAGATATGGGCAGATCACAGGGTAGCTGTAAATTTGCTAATGTGAGCAATTTCTTGTTACTGTCATATTTCATTTTGTTTCAACTAGCTATTGTTCAGAGCCCTGGTATATGTTGGCATGTTATAAATAATAGATCGTTGTTCTTGCAGCAGTAGAACTGTTTTTGGATCTTATTTTATTTTTTTTTCTTCCCAGGAATGGTCAGTGTGTAGTCCATGGAGTCTCTCTAAAATTGTTGCCATTCCTTTCTCACCAATTTGCCCTGTGGTGTTATGTTACCATTCCCGAAATTCTATGCTGCTCCTCCACTTTAATTATTCATTGAAAAAGGCTTAGACAAGGTGTCCATCCCTTCAGGTTAACATAGTTTTTGGATGCATTAATAATGCATGCAGGGCTTTCTCTAATTGTTGTTTTTATATGTATCACGAAAAACCTGGTATTCAATGCTGGATTCCTATATCAAACTGGCAACTGGCTTCTGTATCTGCACAATAAAGAATTGTTAATTTTAAACAAAGCCTAGCCAAACCATATATAATATTTTTTTTTTACATTGGAACCATGTTTTGACTATTTTCTATAGACAGACAAGGGATTCTGAGAGCAGATAAAGGCTGTAGTAATATGCTGATGCAGTGTGTGTGTGTGTTGGTTTTTTTTTTTTTTTTTTTCTCTAAGTATGATGGCTACCAAAAATATTATCAGCTTGGTGTAGTAACTTGTGCATTACCTTGTTTGCACAGCTAGTCACATCAGAGTTTAAGCGTTTTGTATTATTTTGGCTTATTTAGGACACTTTCTGCAGAAAAAGTATACTTGGCAGTATTCACATTATCATACTCCTTGGCAATACCGATCTCTGTAATAGGCAAATTTTAATTTTTTTCCTCTTGAAAACATTCGAACCATAAACCTTACAGCCAACTGTAGTTGTTATGGTGCCAGGGTTGAGGTGTCAAATTGTTTTAGCAGTTTGACATTTTACCAGAGTCTGGTTGGCACCTGTGCAGCATAACCTACATCTGTTCTCCTTGCAGGAGAAGCTGGATGTCACTGCTAAGAGCAACGCAGGACCCCAATCTTTGGCTGAGCGCATCATGCTGAGTGCTCTTATCCCGGGACTTGACAAATTTGTTTAGAGTCTAGGAGCCAGCTACCATCTTTCCCCTAAAATTGGACTGGGTCTTTTTATTAATTTTTCCCTCGAAAAATGCACTAAGTCTTATTTTCAGGGGGTGTCTTTTTTTCGGGAAAAAAACGATGGCAAGCAGGTCTACATTGGGGGTGGGGGAGGGGGGGTCACTGTGGGTGTCTTTAAAGGGACACTATAGTCACCTGAACAACTTTAGCTTAATGAAGCAGTTTTGGTGTATAGAACATGCCCCTGCAGCCTCACTGCTCAATCCTCTGCCATTTAGGAGTTAAATCCCTTTGTTTATGAACCCTAGTCACACCTCCCTGCATGTGACATGCACAGCCTTCCATAAACACTTCCTGTAAAGAGAGCCCTATTTAGGCTTTCTTTATTGCAAGTTCTGTTTAATTAAGATTTTCTTATCCCCTGCTATGTTGATAGCTTGCTAGACCCTGCAATAGCCTCCTGTATGTGATTTAAAGTTCAATTTAGAGATTGAGATACAATTATTTAAGGTAAATTACATCTGTTTGAAAGTGAAACCAGTGTTTTTTTTTTTTTTCATGCAGGCTCTGTCAATCATAGCCAGGGGAGGTGTGGCTAGGGCTGCAGCTCCCTTCCAGCTACCTTTCCTGCAGCTCCCTTCCAGCTCCCCAGTGTAATCTCGCGAGTCCCGCGGCCGCAGAGTGTTGCCACAGGTTACCATGGCAACGTGGCACGCAGACAGCGAGATTTGCACTGGGAGCTGGAAGGGAGCTGCAGGAAAGGTAACAGCTTGCTGCCGACCCCCACTGCCCAGTACATGCCAAGTTGAAGACCACCAAAGGACAAAGCTGCACATGTAGCAGTGTCAGAGGGAGAGAGCCATGTTTCTGTTAAGGCTAGTAAATCTACTGAACGAGAGATGAAGAGGTCGTGGACAGCAGTAGATTTTGTAATTTTGCAAACAGAGCGTGGCACCCTGGATTTGTCGAGCCCTGCCTTAGCCAAAGTGCGCTGTCTCGTATCTGCTAACTTTTGTAGGTCTAGAGCTATCCAGCTTCACTAGCTGGAGAATTCCAGATGTGGCACTACAGGATTTGGTTAAGTTGTCAAGCTGTTTCTCCATGGTTTCTTATCTTTCCATGGGACAGTGCAAGGGCTCTCCTTGCACCACAACACTTATAGCAGACTGTAGTCGTCAGTCCTGAGAGTGTTCCTTTTTAAAGGCTGTTAAAGGAACACTTCAAGCACCATAATTGCCACAGCTAACTGTAGTGGTTGTGGTGCCAAAAGTGCTCTGGTGCGCCACCCTATCCTTTGTAAGTAGTCAAACTCTCTTAAATATTGGTTTGACGTCATACCTGGGGTCTGCAGGCACTCGCTGCCTATGTCCACCACAGCTACAAGAGAGTTGTAAGCTCCCTGCCTCAGTTAAGGAGGGCTTAGCTCATTAGCTGAGAGAAAGGAGCTGATGCTGTGAGCTATCCCTACCCTGCTCAGTTTGACTTGGGCAAGCTAATGGGACACCTTGCATAGATGTTTCCAGCTGTCCTCTCCTGTAGTGGAGGCAGAGAGCAGAGCTGGCATACTGGGGAGCAATGACCATAGTATACATCTGCCCCAATACATACATTTGAAAACAAAGAAAAAAGTTAGTTGTGCACTATCCTGTATCCCACATTTAAAGGGACACTCCAGGCACCCAAACAACATTCTCTAAATGAAGTTGTTATGGTGCCAGGAGGCCACTGGACGGACACTTAACTGATATTGTTCAACTGTTGTCAAATAGTTTAACCCCCAACTTGCCTCCAGCGGCTATCTTTGTGTTTGTTTTTTATTTATTATTTTTTTTATTTTTTTTTAAGTCAAATGCTTCTAAAATGAATTCACTGCTTATACAGGGAAGTACCAGAACCACTACAGTAGTTATGGTTCTTTAAATGTGTTTCGCCCCCCCCCCCTCCCCCCCAACTTAGACATTCCAGGTAATCCCTAAATCCTAGACCAGGCATAGGCAACCTTCTGCACTTCTGCACTCCAGGTGTTTTTGGTGCTGAGGCTTTGCCAGCACCATGGGTGTCAGAGCATTATGGGGGATGTAGTCCAAAACATGGGTGTCAGAGCATTATGGGGGATGTAGTCCCTGTCCTAGACTGTTAGGTGTACCTTGAGGAGAGGGTTGTGAAGTACTGCTGAGAAGTGTCAATGTTTACTCATTGCCTAAACAGTGCTGGTTGTCAGACTGACCACCACTCGAAAGACTTCCTTATTGAAGACTTTATGTTTGTGAGGACGCTAAACAAACCCATCAAAGGCAGGCTGCAGCACTTGTCAATTCTCTTTGAAAACCACTGGGTTGGACAAAAATCCTAATGATGACTTCACCAGAGGAGAAGAGATGTGTGTGTGTGTGTGTGTGTGTGTGGTGGTTTTTTTATTTATTTATTTATTTTTTAATTTAAACAAGGAGTCCCAATTGCCTAAATACATTAAGGAAAACGAACATAAAAAATATTTAATGTTCGCGTTTCTTTTATTGATATCTGTGTCCATCTGTACTTTAGTTTCACAAGGGACGTTTTGACAGTGCGTAATGTAAATAAGCTTCACAAGGTTACAAGTTAGTTTCAAATTTTAGGCCACAGTAGCCAATATAGTGAGTTATTTTTGTATAAGAGTTGAAACTCCCTTTCCATTACTAATGTTTCATATTTTTATTGATTATTGCCGTTGTTTTCACATATATGATGGTGAAATATTTTTTTTTTTTTGTTTGTTTTTTTTGTTTCCCCCTCCCCCACCACTCCTGTGTCCTTTATCAGAAAAAATTGGAATGTTTTTGCTTCGGAGTGTAATTCCAAATATGTGCAGATTGTTGAGTGACTAAATCAGGATCTGGTCATATCAAAGTACTTAACATTTTTGGCAGCTCACCCAAAAAAAAGTGCTGGCATCCTTGACCCATGTTTTAACAGGCATTCAAATGTGAATGCAGGTGTTACATTTTTTCCTGATATGATATTGATGCTGGTCACTTAAAACGCATGTACGTAATTTCTCTGTTGGATTCAAACTTAAACTCCTTTTGGTTAACTCACCTGTGCAATAAGGGTTCAGAACGAATGTAATGTTGGGTGTGTGTGGGATTTGTACCTTTTTTGTATGCTATAATTGCAGTAATGACCTTCGTGAAGTGGGGTTTGTCGTGTGTGGGCTCTTTTTCACTCTGCAGTGGTTTAAAAAATAAATAAAATTTAAATGCATATTTAGTATAAACTACAAAAGAGATTAGATCTGTGAACGGTTTCCTGAGGGAATTTTGCAGACACCACGTTGATTAGGGGTATGGTAGTTATGTGATTGCAGGTCAAACCAACCGTGATCTGAGTATGTGGAAGTTTGTGTTGTGTATTACTTAAACTAGTTGATAGCCTAATTATGCCAACATTTGAATAGCTGAATTAATCCACACTGACTGTCTAAAGGGGTGTTAAAAGACTGGTATATTTGAAAAACCCAAACTTTGCATTTTTCTACATGGATGGATATGACTCAATATTGGTGTCAGTGATTTTGAAAGTATTAAATTTACTTTTTTGCAATTGACATGACTATTCACCAAATGATTGGTGGATTGACCAGGGAATTGCAATTGGGCTAAAATATCCCCCCAGCCCCCTGAATTTTATGCCTCATAATAATCCTATAATTTAACCTTTAAAGTTGAGCAGTATTTTATCTTGGCACAGATAAGAACTTTGGTTTAAAAAATAAATAAAAACAATTGCTCTGTAGATTGTGATGGTTGAGGGTAATACAATGATCACCACACACTATGGCAAAATTGGTGACCTAAATGGCTTCACTAAAATAATGGAAACAGCCCCATGAGATGTGCTAAAGTAGTTGAAATCCTTTGCATGTCCAGCAAAACATACTGTCAAAATTCTGAGTTTGAAACGAAAGCACATTATTGCTAATATTTTTATAGTAAAATTATGGACCTACCCAACTTTGCTCCATGGCGGTTTCCCTGGGGGGTGTTTTGTGATCTATTAGACCCTTTAATTTAAGAAAAAATAATAATAGATCACAACAGATTTTTAATTTTTTTGAAACTGCTATGTATGTATGTATGTATGGTTAACCCTAGTTGGACCAGGCACCCAGACCACTTCATTAAGCTGAAGTGGTCTGGGTGCCTACAGTGGTCCTTTAACCACACTATGTGGGGTGGTGGTGAGAATTCTCTGGTTCACGTGGAGGCAATCATCTCTCAGGCAGACCATTGGGTTTGGTTAGTTGGGGGGGGGGGGAGGCGGGGAATTTTGATATTTATTTAAAAAACCATAAACACCAGATTGCATTTCTATGTATACATATGCTTGACAAGCCAGATTTTAAGCATTTTGTGATGATTTAGGTTCCAGTGATGGCAATTAACTTCGTTTCACCATAGTAGATAACATTTTTACTGCTTGCCACAGTGAGGCACTACTTGTAAATGGGGCATGCCTCTCAAACCTAGATTAAAATTCTAAAATAGGTTTTTCACTTAATCATTGTACAATAAAGGTGATCCTTTTAAGGGGATACATAAGGCACTAAAGATTCAAAAATGCTTTGGAGGGGTGGGGGGAGAATTCTTCCCTGATCCTATTTTTCTTCTGTCTATAGAGATGACTTTAAATACAGGAAACGTGAACTTCAAATGGGACCCAAAAAGCTTGGAAATTCGAACATTGGCAGTTGAAAGACTGCTTGAGCCTCTAGTTACTCAGGTAAATAAATTTTCTGATATTTGAATATTGAAGTAAAAACATTCTGTTTGTTTTTTTTTTTTTTTTTATATTTTGTAATAATATACCTCTGTGTCTGCTGTCTGCCTACAAATGTGGTTCAGCTGAATTTCCACAATTCAGTTGGACTGTAATTGCAACCAGTCAGTTATCCATCACTATGAAAAACTAATTGGCACCACTTAAAAAGCTGCATGGGAGAAATGGTTAACTTCAAATTCCCAATTATTAATATCCAGTGGAATTCTGCTTCTTGATAAATACGTTTTTAAGTAGGATTTCCATGTGCAAATCACTGAGTCTTAAAGCAGACACTAGATGGACCTTTAGTAGCTGAGAACTACAAACGTGTTTGAAACTCCTTAATTTTAGCAGAATTTTGTTAATCTCACCTGCATCTGAGGTTCAGTGAATAACACTGATGGCCATAGCACATTCACTGGTATATTCCAAACCGCACCTGCTTATGCACACCAGACAAGTCCTCCCTTACCAATTGGTCATTGCAGGAAAGTCTCCCTCTTTTTGCCTTATATGTGCAGGCAGACTTGATCCATGCAGAGTTCTCTGTGGCAGCTCCGCTTTGGTAATATATAGCAGAGCTGCCACAGTTTTGTAATTCTGCAGATTGTGATGCATGACTATATTTTCCTTATGATGTTGTTGATATCCATGTTTAAAAAAAAAAAATAAAATAAAAATCTCTATCAGTATTTGAGATGTCAAGTTTTGTGACTTTCTTGGTTATCTAATTAGGTAGTCATGTGATTGATCTGAAGTGTTTAAATATACTCTTGGTTTTAAGTTCACTTTAGTGTATTTAAACACTTCAGATCAATGGGAGTCGAAACATTGCAATTTTGGGACTGCATCCCTTTTAATAAAGATTACACTCCCTGCTGGCACCATTTTGCCTGTTTATCCTTCACTTGTATTGATCCAGGCAGGGATGTCAATCATATGCACTTATTTGAATTGTGGGCGCTCCTACAAACAAAGGTTCCTGGCAGCTGCACCTTCCATTATGGCTGGATGAGTATTTCAGCTGTCAGGCGTACTGCACAATGCAAAAAATATGTGCCTATTTGCTAATTCATATAAAGGGACAGTATAGATGGCAAAACCGTCACCCGCTGTTATGGCTCCAGGTGTTTTATTGTACCATCTCACCAAAAGTAGTCAAACCTTTTTCAAATAGTTTTCAGAGGCGTACCCAGAGTCTCTAGTGCCCTTGGCGAGGAGCTGTACTCCCCCCTCTATATCATGGAAAAAGTTAAAATTTGAAAGAATGTGCTCCACTGTGTAAAGGGGAAACTAAAGAAACATTTCTAGCATTATATTTTGTCTCCTAAACCTCCCTGTCCCATTACAAAAATGAATAAAAATACATTTAAGTTTCTTGGGAATGGAGGCCTGCTAGTCACCTAAAGCATTCCACACTAATATGAAACCACTGCAAGGAGAACTCCTACAAACCCTCCCATCTGCTAGTGCGCATGAATTGCAAGCTCCATACATAATGCTTTCCCAGTAATAATTATCCGCCTCAAAATATATACTTTTTTTTTTTTTTTTTTTTTTACCACACACACATTTATACTTGTGTGATGATGGTGATGTGCCAGAGGAATTCTTGTCACCATATTGCAAGCATAGTACAGACTCATCACATCTAATGACCAGCATAACACAGGCACATTACACCTTACTGCAAACACAACAAAGGCAAATCACTTTTATTAATTTTTTTACAAGCATAACACAGGGACATTACACCATATCCGTACCGGACTGGCATAAAAAAACAGCCCTGTTAATAATTTTATACCAGACCCATAGCATTGTCATTATACCAGACCCATATCCTAGCGTTCTATGCTTGTTCACAAAAGTGGGAAAAAACATGCATTTAAAAGCAAGAGTATATTCTATATATAGACAAGAATGTGATATATCTATATATCATTAGTATGTACAGTTATCTCACACACTGCCCTGATGTATACCCCATGCACAGGGCAATATATAGGTCCCAGTATGTAAACAATGTTATATGAATTGCCCTGTGCAAGGGTATATATCAGGGCAGTGGTGGCTCTAGACTTTGTGAGGCCTTGGCGATACTCAAACGTGAGGCCCCACTACAGCCAAAGTGAAAATAAATAGTTCATTGTGTGTATAAGGTCAGGGCCGGCGCTTCCATAAGGCGGCACAGGGGCCGCCTTAAAACACGTAAAAGACTCCTTGGCTCTTTGCCTGTGATTCACATTTTAAAAACATTTCCTGCTCCTGATTTGCTGCCCGGTTCCCAGTTCTGCTCTGATATGTCAGCGGAGATTGATGGGCAGGGCACTTCCTCTCCCCCCCCCCCTCTCCCCCCACTTGCGGGGCTTAAATTTCCCCTACAAGAGATCCTACTTATATGATATAATGGACAGGGCAGGGATTGATGTTGCATTTATTCAGGAGACTCATTGTCCATCCCCGGTCATTCTGTCTCTTCCCCTCTCCCCCGTAGCCCTGTGTCACTCTTTTCCCCTAATCACTGCCCCCTATTACTATGTCACTGTCCCCCTGCCCTCTAGCCATGGGTCACTGTGTCCTAGCCCTGCGTCACTCTTTTACCTAATCTCCTGCCCAATAAACCCTGTGTTACACTGTCCTCATAGCCCTGTGCTAATTTGTCCCCCTAATACCCTGCTCCCCTAGTCCTGTGTGACTCTGTCCCCCTAATACCCAATATATTACAAGATCAACAATATAATAAATAAAAATGTAATTCTTGGTGACCCGTAGGTGGAGTACATGGTATGCACCTGTGTCTGGTGCAGACTATTATAATTACTGTCTCATGGTTTTGGTGCCCAGTTATAGAGTCAATGCACTCACACAGGGATTCCTAGCCTGAACTTTGACTCATAACAAGCACCAGACTAGAAGGAGGGGTCTGCAGTGCACTAGTCATAAGTACAGGATGTGTTTTACCACCGGGCCACCAGGGAATTTAGCTCCCTCCATACAAAAAAAGTAAACAGGAGTAGAGGTAAAACATCTTTTTATTATATGAATTAAACACCCACTACACACAGCCAACACATGTACATGAAACATATCACACACACAGACCAAACACAGCCACCACACATTACATCACATTATTATGACGTTTATTATAGTGGAGCTCTGTGATAGTGTTATATAAAATGCACATTCATTTTTAAAGGTGTGGAGCTCTGTAATAATCTACTGTGCACAACACCGATTTGTGATACACTCAAAAAAGACATTTGTTTTCTTTGTTTGCTGTGGATCTCTGGGATTAACTCATACGCAACACACAATACTGTGAATTGTAATGCCCAGGATCAAGATAAATGAGGAAAACCCAGTCCAAAGCAATACAACTAACAGTATAGTGTTGCATGATTGAGAATCAAAAAGCACCAAAGCAATAATCTTTGTGTTTTGTAAGTGGTGCCTTTGTATATATACATCAAGGGAGTGATGGGGTGGCAAAATGCATCCCTGCCTGTGTACCTAAAAATTCTTGCACCGGCCCTGTATAAGGTGCTGTAGTTATATTGAAGGATGGCCTTGCAGCATTGGATACAGAGAGCTAGTCTCTGAATTAATTGTTCAGAGGCTTGCCGTGTCTCTCTTCTCTCTCTCCTCCCCCCCCCCTTTTTTGTTCTTACTGTAAATAAACAAACCTTAATTTGCCTTGGACTAAATCCCCTTTTTTCTGGTCTATATGCATGATCTTGTGTCCTATGTGTAGCCCTGTTTAGGAATAGGTTTCCAGACAATGGTTTGTACTGGTCTTGAATATACTTGTATAATGCTATCATATCCCCTCTGAGGTGTTGTTTATTGTAAACTAAAGAGATTTAAATTTGTTTACCTTACTTTATAACTATAATGCTCCATTTCTTTTATTGATTTTATAGCCGCCTCTGCACTTGCCTATTTCAAGATCTTTTACAAATCTGTTTTTTTTTTTCAGAGAAACGCAGTGTTTACATTTCAGCGTGGTGGTGTTAACACTATGAGGTCAGGAATGTATGTTTGTGTTACTGACCCTATAGTGTTCCTTTTTAACGTATGTGTATATATCTGGAATCCTTGCCTAGGAACAGTAAATTATTTTGTGTGCATGATTGTTTTGCATTGTTTGTAATGGTGCTTCTCCACTATTTGCAACATTTAGGTAACAACTTTGGTGAATACAAGTAATAAAGGACCGTCCAATAAGAAGAAAGGTCGGTCAAAGAAAGCTCATGTTCTGGCCTCTTCAGTTGAACAAGCCACACTGAATTTCCTGGAGAAAGGAGATAAAATTGCAAAGGAAAGCCAGTTTCTCAAAGAGGAATTGGTTGCAGCTGTTGATGATGTTCGTAAACAAGGTATTTGGCGTGGTGTTGTGAGTGGGGTGGTTCCCCCCTCACCCCTCAGTACAAAACTTAGGAATGCTATAATTCCTTTAACCTCTTAAGGACATGTGACATGTCATGATTCCCTTTTATTCCAGAAGTTTGGTCCTTAAGGGATTAACCTTTGCATACAGAACTTTTTTCTAAATATTGCACATTTCCTTTTGAATCTTATTGACTTTATTCTGTTTTGGGGGCAAGTCTGTATGTGTGTATATAATGCTGAAACATGCAATGTGAGCATTCACAGACCCATGTATTTTTGGACACTGGTTGGAAAAGGCACTCTTCTGTTTTTAAATCGAAGTGTGTGTTTTTTTTTTTATTTTTATTTTTTTTCTATTTTTTATTTTTTTTTATCCTTCATGACTGAAGCAGATTTTCAGACTCTTTCCCCCGAGCAACCTATCACCCTGCATGTGGCCTGTAATTGACTGCTGTTCTCTAACCAGCTTTTAGTTGAGTGTATCTGTCGGTTACCATCCAGCAGTAGCTACAGTGATCTAAAACATTAACTTTAAGTCCACATTTGGTACAAATAAAGTGTTTTGTGTTCTACAGGAGAGTCGATGAAGAGTGCTTCTGGAGAGTTTGCTGATGATCCCTGCTCATCAGTGAAACGTGGAAATATGGTTCGAGCTGCACGTGCCCTGCTATCTGCAGTCACAAGATTGCTTATTTTGGCTGACATGGCAGATGTGTATAAACTACTTGTACAGCTGAAAGTGGTAATTTCTTTTATTTTTCTCTTGGCAATCCTGTACAAGTCTGGATGGTCAAATGATTAATGAATGTGATTTGGGTATTTTAAGGATTTATTCAGTGTGTTTTCCAATGTTTGCTTAAATGCAGAAAGATTGATATATAATAAGGTTTTCAGAACTTTCCAAAGGGAAAAAATAGTTAAAGGGACACTACAGTCACTAGAACAATTACAGTTTAATGTAGTTGTTCTGGGGAGTATAATCATTACCTGCAGGTATTTCTATGTAAACACTGCCTTTTCAGGAAAAAAAGGCAGTGTTTTAATTTGCCCCATAAGGACACCTCCAGTGGCCACTTATCAGGTGGCTTCCTGTGGCAGTGTACAGCAATGCCTTCAGCATCTCCACCCTCTGCATGGAGACATGGAACTTTCCTCCTAGTGATGCATTGGGGGGTGTGGTTAAAACGATGTGGTCAGAAATACATGTTTGTTCCTGACCCTATAGTGTTCCTTTTAAGGGAAAAAGTTAAATTTACAGTTGCATTTTCTCATATGCATTTTTTTTTTTTTTTTTTTTTAAATCTAATTGTTTAAAACTTTAAAAGACAAAACAGAAGTGACAATTTGACAGTTATCATTTTGAAAGTATAGCACTGTCTAAATGCTTTATTACAAGAAGCTTAAACTGTATATCTTGGATTTTATAAAATTTAAAGCTGTGGTGTGTGGGTTTTTTTGTGCGTGCATTTAAGACTCTTCATGCTGGAACACATTCAGTTGTTCACAAATAAAAAATAAAAAAATAAGAAATTGTAGGTTCTCCTTTTTGTGGCTTCTTGTAACTTTTATGAGCTTATGATATGTTGACCAATACACAGCACTTTGGCTAGGAATGTTTACTGGCCCTACCACTGAGAATGCCACATAATATTATGCAGAACTGGTTAAGTCCTCAGACAGAGGGTTTTTTTTTTTTTTTTTTTTATAGGTGGAAGAAGGAATTGCCAAACTAAGAAACGCTGGCACTGAGCAAGACTTGGGTATACAGTACAAGGCATTAAAGGCAGAAGTGGACAAATTAAATGTAATGACTGCAAAACGACAACAGGTAAGATTATTTGTTCATGTCCATATTTTGTTTCATGGACTAACTTTAATAATTCTCTATTTAAGATTTCTTAATGCTTCATGTTTACATAAAAACAATCCTTAAGTGCGTAATCATCTTTCCACTGTCATGAAGGCATACGAATTATAAGTTATAAGTGGCCTAAAGCGAAGTGCCTTCGTGTGGCATTCTCTCTTGTTTCGGTGCTCTCCCTGCCGATATTGTACATTTATCTCTGACAAACCGCTAAATTGCATGGGGTTTTAATATATCCATCTTCTCCACAGACTGTAACTTTATTTTTTTTATTTTTTTTGTACACTCAACTGAAGAAAGAATAATGAAGGGTTTAGTTATAATATATTATCATACATTGCATAAGTCCGCCACAACTCAAATGTACCCCACTTTTAGCAGGTCCGACTCGAGCCACCTAATGCCGAGGATGACACATTCTCACGTGGGTGCTCTAAATGTGTAAGACTCTCTTATTCTGGCGTAGCTCTGATCTCTTAAAAGTAGGGATCGACCAATTATTGGTCTGGGAGACATTATCGGCAGTTATTCTGCATTTTCAGCAATATCGATATCTCCCAATAAATATACCGATATTTCCAATAATGCAGACCAGGGCTGCCATCAGGGTCCTTGGGGGACCGTGGCGGTCCTGGGGGGGCCCAACACAGACTTACTTGCCTTCACAGCAACTCCCCTGTCTACCTCTCGTGAGTCCCGCGGCCGTCAGCGCTGACCCGTGGCAACGCTCCACGTGGCACACAGGCCGCGAGAGTTAGACAGGGGAGCTGAAGGGAGCTGCTGGGAAGACACACACTCACCTGCTCACCTCACACACACCTCATCCACTAACCAAATATTCACCGCATCACTACACACACACAAATTGTATTGAAAACATAAATTCTGACTGGCAGGTGTATTTTGTGCATTTACCTTTTTAATAAATAATTTGCAAAGGAATAAAAAAAAATGTTAAGTAAACAGTAGATTTGTGTAGAAATAGTTTATTTTTTCAAAATGGTAAATGTACAGGTTATCGGCTGGAAAGTTCACAGATTATCAGGATCTGATTTAAAAAAAAAAAAAAAACAAAACAAAAAAAATCGATCGATCCCTACTTAAAAGCTGTAGGCCACCATTCCTCCCAACCTCCCAGTGCTTGTTAGCAAGGTGTTTTACTGATATCGCCTATTTAATGGTAGATTTTTTATTTTTTTTGTATATAACTCTTAATTCATTTACTTTTTTTTTTTTTTTTTTTAGGGTCTCGTACGTTTTCTGTGTTTTTTTTTTTTTTTTATTTGTTTTTTAAATTGCAAAACTAAAAATAAGTCTAAATCCACACCAAACCAGGACATTGTTTGTGTGCCAACATTAACACATTTGCTGTCCAGCAATTAAATGTGTGGGTTTTTTTTTTTTTAGGAACTGAAAGATGTGGGACACAGGGATCAGATGGCTGCTGCCCGTGGCATTTTGCAAAAGAACATTCCAATACTGTACACTGCTTCACAGGCGTGCCTGCAGCATCCTGATGTTGCTGCTTACAAGGCCAATAGAGATTTGATTTACAAACAGCTTCAACAGGCTGTCAATGGAATCTCAAATGCAGCTCAAGCCACCGCATCTGAGGAAGTTGGGCAGCAACAAGGAGGTGGAGAGCTAGCCATTGCATTGAACAATTTTGATGTTAGTAATTTTTTAAAATTTCTTCTTTTTTATTTTTTATATTTCTTTATTTTTATTGTGCAGTTGTTTACAGAGCATTTAAATGACGCCACAATAGTGTAGACCTTAATCAGTACAGCATAAGCAATGGCACGGAAAACCGTGCTCCTTTTTATAGTAAAACGATTCTGAGACTGTTGAACATAACGTGTATTAGGGATTGTATACAGGTGGGTAGGTCGGGTATATCTAGCATCATATGTTCGAGCTCTAGGCATTTTCGTAGCACTTGACATCGAGATCGTATTACTTTGTAGACATAGTGCCTAAGGCTACGGTCATCCCTGTTGCTATTTGTAAGTGGGGCTTCCGCCCTGTTAAGGGCAGCGCAGGGTATGCAATGAACGAGGTGTAATGGGATGCTAACATATGGACAGGTAAACATGTAACCAGACTCCTGCATGGGGTACCAGTGGAGCTTTGGTAGGCATTGATATGGGGTGGATGTTAGTATTTTAATCTTTCGGTGGGTTGGTAATATATGCAGTTTATCCATAATACTATGAATACACAGGGCAACTAACTTTGCACACTCTGGGTAATTGAACTGGCGTAGAAAACTTGAAAGGAATATGGATGAAGAGGACAAGTCTAGATCTCACACACGTTTGCCCAAATTGTCACATTTTGCCCTTGAACTAAAACTGTGGGAATTCTTTGTCCAGAGACAACCCCTTTACTACCAAGCACCTTTAAGTATTTGAAAGGAAAAATAAAACTCGTACCTAGCACATAATCTAAAACAGCAATTTTCTGTATAAATTGTTTCTCATGTAAATTTACACAATTCCTTCATGTAATGCGTTGTTTGTTTTTTTTTTTTTAAACAGAAACAAATTATTGTGGATCCTCTTGGCTTTAGTGAAGAAAGATTTAGACCTTCGCTGGAGGAACGTCTAGAGAGCATAATTAGCGGTGCTGCCCTAATGGCGGATTCATCTTGCACTCGTGATGACCGTCGGGAACGCATAGTTGCTGAATGTAATTCGGTTCGACAAGCTTTGCAGGATCTTCTTTCTGAGTATATGGGAAATGTAAGACTTCTATTTTGCACTCTCAGAACCTAGGCTAATGTTGTCTTAAGTCTGATAAACTAGGTAACTACGAAACATAAAGATTTTTTTATAGCAACTTATTAGTCCAACTCAAGCAGCACAACTGGCTTTCATGATAATGAAATACAAGCCTCAATTAATTGGCTGCCTGTTTAAAAATTCTAAAGCTAGCCTGGTAGACTGTGTTTTGTCTATGGGTATTGTGTACACACTGCATTTTAAGTAACTTTTGTAGGAAAGATTAAGTAGTGTGTGTACTCCAACCCCCTAAGGTAATCATATGCAGAATATAACTGTTAAAATGTGGAATTTTAACTGGTGGTCTGATGCCTGCCAACCCTCAACATCTTCATGTTGATGATAATCTGTTGCTGCGTAAACCTACTTGAAGAATACTGTGAGCGAACCCATACTTGCCAACCTCTTTGGTTCTTAGCATAGTTACTGGTAAGACCCACCCATATTATTAACAAAGTGTTCAAATAGTGTGAGATATATAAATATATATTCTATTTACGTACCCGGTATAACATTTGTGAACAAATATTTGGTTTAACTGACATTTACAATGTGTTTGTTTGCAGACTGGCCGCAAAGAAAGAAGCGACACCCTAAATTCTGCAATTGAGAAAATGACGAAGAAAACCAGGGACTTGCGCAGACAGGTATTTAAAATGTTGTGCCCTGTTCCAGGAACTGAATTTGTGTAATCTCCATACAATAAGGTTCTAAATGTATTGTGATAGTCTTATAAATGTATACCAATTTCCGAACAGGGAAATATACAGCAACCACAAATATTGAGGGCATCTGGGGACTCTGACACTGTAATCATTAGTGTGCTGTAGTGGTTATGTTGCACAGACTGCTACTTTAATATCCTGTGGTGTATTCCAATTTTGCCATGCTTCCCTTAGGGCCACGGTAGTAATGGCATCCGCCAAATGGTTTCTGTTGCCATGTTGTCTGACACACAAGCTTGGTTGGTATACATGTTTTCCTTCAGGTTCAAGTATACACCTGGGCACTGAATAACAACCAGCAGCCCACTGGAGGGGATCCTCTCCCACGATTCATCACCATTTCATGCAGCCTAGTGGTTAACACTGATAAAAGTAACTCTATCTGATCCTCTGCTAACCCTCAGAGGTAATTTGGTGGATGGACAGTTTTTAAAGTAGTTACACAAACAAGAGCTCAGCAACTGTATATCTCTGTCCCCTTTCTTTAACTGAGGATACCAGGCTCACTTCATGCTTGAGTCCTCCTAATGAGCAAATTCACTTGCACATGTCCAAAATATTTTGTGCACTGTGAGCTTACATTACGTTACATTAGTAATAATCTCTGAGCACTCTGAACAAAACCATTTTAGCTAGGATTGATTGCGTCATGTGTTCTGGAACATGAATTGCTATTGACCATTTGTGGACATGGAGTTGACAGCCATCCAGTGCCAGTTTGACTGCACTGCAAAGGTCAAGTGATTTGGCTGTCCAGGGGTATTTGTTTCGATTTGTAATGCTTTGAGTGTCTTTGTTTTGAATACGTCTCTCTCTCTCTCTCACCTCTCCATATAGTTTTTAATGATCCAAACTTTTACTTGTAGCTCCGTAAAGCTGTTATGGACCATGTCTCTGATTCTTTTCTGGAAACAAATGTACCTCTGCTTGTTCTAATTGAAGCTGCAAAGAATGGGAATGAGAAGGAAGTAAAGGAATATGCACAAGTATTTCGTGAACATGCCAATAAGTTGATTGAGGTAAAACGCTGCTGCTACTCTTAGTATGACCTGAAGGGGAGTGTGGAGAACTATTTTGAAATTGTTTGTACATTCCAGAAAGTGTTGTCTTTGCTAGACTACATGTAATTGGGACTAGTTTTCTGACCGTTCACTTGTCTACTTTGTGTACTCTATAACCTCTCCTGTTCCCCTCTTTCTCCCAAGTTACTGGATTACGTCTGTCTGCAGTTTAACGTAGGCAAGTTAGTTATAGACTTCTAAATTTCCAAGTTCTGAAAATTGACACCACACTGCTGTGCATTTGAAACATCAAAACAAACTAGTGTGAAATCCAACCATCAGATCGTGGGTTCCAAATAATATTTTATTGTAGTAGGAATAAAGCAGAGACATTTATGAAGCCATTAATTGTGTTGCCAATCATTCTATGCTCCAGGGCACAATAAACAAACAAATGCTGACATGGCTTATCTCCTGATTTGTAATTACATGTGTGAAGATTTCATGTTATACATTGATGTTTATTACACCAAAACACAAACTCATTTAAGATGAAATTTGTTATGCAGAGTGTATTTATAGTATTCATTTTATATTAAAGCATTTTTATTTATTTTTTTCATATGCCATAGGAAAATGTACATGTCTCCTAATTATTTTCATAAGGAGGCAGCTGTTGCTTTATTAATCCAGGAAAAGTAACCCATAATGGTTATTCAATGTCTGTTGAATTACCTATGTGGTGTCTATTTGCTAGAAGAAAAAGGAACACTTGGCTTGCTTTCTGAAAGTGTCCTCCATGCAGACATAATTCTCCTAAAAATAAAATGTGAGATGCTAAATTTACTGATCTTTGTCTGTGGGTTAGTCCTTAACTTATATAATTTTCACCAATCAGACAAAATATTTTCTATCCCTACAATATAACAAGTTGGCATGAAATTTGCCTGACTGAAATGTTCTTTTCTTATAGGTGGCTAATTTGGCATGCTCAATATCCAATAATGAAGAAGGTGTCAAACTTGTTCGCATGTCGGCTAATCAACTTGAAGCTCTCTGTCCTCAGGTTTGTAATGGTTAGACGCCTTCACTTAGACTTGTAAAATGTATTTCCAAAAATCTGAAGAAGAAAAGTATTGTTTTAAACTAACAACGCTTTAGCAGTGCCACTTGAACATATGCCAGTTTCTCAATGTGAAACCATATATAACTTTTGGCCTTTGAGTTGCAAAAAAATCTACTTTGTGAGCATTCTGTAACCGTAATAATTTTGGTAGTTTATTTGTGAAGCCACACTTGGACTTGTATTACTGGACTCTCCATCAATATTTAATCAAGAAAGATCAAGAGATTTAAAACTAATCACTTGTAGAGTGCCAATGTGACTTGTCTTCACTGTATACAATATTCTTTGCGTGGCATGCTTCCATGTTCGCAAAGTATATTGAAATGAACAGCAAGCCCCAGCTACTTCCGGGTTTTGGCCGTGAAATGCATGACCTCATCGGACGGCACGCGCGATGACGTCTCATCGCTCTGACAAAACCGGAAGAACATCTGCAAGAGATTATTGGACTTTTTGGGACATTTGGGGAGGTATAAAGGACTGGGGAGGGAAGGGGGAAGTATTACTATTTAGCTTAGCAGATTATCCCGTATTTTGTGTATATAGTTCGTGGAGGACAGGAGGAAGTTTTCAGGGTACCTTTGGAAGCTTCACCATGCACAGGGAAATTTTGTCTGCTAACATCTTATTTGCACTAATTGCACTTATAGTTTGTGTAAAAACATTTTGTTTTACCTGCACCACTGTAGTTTTAACCCTGTGGTCTACATTAGTTTTGTAGAAATTGTTTTTTATATTGCAGGGTTAAGCACACCTCTGGTGGCTCACATATTGAATTTCTTCAAATGAGAAGCATTTGACTGGATGTGCTTGCCACCTAGATTGTACCCAAAGTTGCTCTGCGGAGCATTGGTTTGGACATTCATTGTGGAAGCAATTCCTCCACGATAATGTCATGGAAGGTGGAGTGGGCATCACTGGGGGAGTTTTGGCGCTGAAAAAAGTAAAAACACTTAAGGTTAAGAACTTGTTAGATTTGTAGGATATTGCTATAAACTATTTAATTGTTGGTACTGTTCATTAAAATTGTGACCATTCTGAGACTTGTCCTATCCTTCTGCTTTATTAAGGTAATCAATGCAGCATTGGCATTAGCAGCAAAACCAAATAGCAAGCTGGCACAAGAGACTATGGATCTTTTCAAAGAACAATGGGAAAAGCAAGTTCGTGTTCTGACTGATGCTGTTGACGACATTACTTCAATTGATGACTTCTTGGCAGTCTCAGGTACCTTGTGTTTAACCTTTAGCATCCCTCCCCCATTGTGAGAGGATTTCTTGAACTCAAAATATAAATATATAAAAAAAATTTTTTTTTTTTTTGTTCCAAACCGGGCATTAGCCTTGGAAACATAAGGACCACTGCATGGGCTGGAAGAGGCCAGGAGTATGGAGGCTCTGCAGAGGTGTAGTGTGATTGGGACACTGATACCTGCATCCCCTTACTTCCAGATAATACAGCACCCTATGCCACCCCCAACAAACAAAACAAAATATGGCCGAGCATTTTTCCCGAAAGGGTCGGGAGTAGTGTGTGTGTGTGTGTTAAAAAAAAAAAAAAAAGTGGAGCCACCACCTGGCTAAACTAGTTAAAATCTCCCCACTTCTGTACATTTAGGGTTTCAAAGCATCTTTAACTCTTGAAGCAGAAGTTTCACTTCTCCCTTTAAAATTTTTTTTTTTTTTTAACCTAAATTATTTTGACCTAAATAAAAGTTGTCACTACAGATTCCTTGGACTTATAAATACTTAAGTAAACCATAGTGGCTATGGTGCTTACAGTGTTTGGTTTAATTTGATGGTTTTTCACTTCCAAATCTAATTGAAGTGTCTTTCTTTTCAGAGAATCATATTTTGGAAGATGTCAATAAATGTGTTATAGCTCTTCAAGAGAAAGATATAGATGGCTTGGATCGAACAGCTGGTGCAATTCGTGGACGTGCCGCAAGAGTCATACATGTTGTCACTTCAGAAATGGATAACTATGAACCTGGAATATATACTGAAAAGGTTCTGGAGGCCACCAAGCTGTTATCAAACACTGGTATGAGAGAATTGTATCTACAATCACTCACACCATTTACAGGACACTGTTGTGCAAGCACCATACTAAACTTGTATTTACATTTTGTGTTCTTTGCACAATGATTGATGTGGAAGTAGGGTGAAAACATGCACTTTATTAATGGTACTCTTATTGGTTTTGTCCCCCTTCACCCCCCAATTTCCCTTCTGAATAGAAGTGGCATGGTTCCGTTTTGGTGTTTTATAACTCTTGTTTTGCCATCCATGTGTACACCTGGAGGTCTGCTTTCACATCCAATCTTTAGATCTATTTGAAGATTCTAGAGAATAGAAGTTTTGCACGTATCTTAACAGACTAAAAACAAATGTCAAGCACCTTCTGGTCTCAAGGAGGATACCTATATCTCTATAAAAAAAAAAAAAAAAAAAAAGTATAACTATCTAATGCACTTTTAACATGAGTAATCTGATTGTATTACTTGTAGTTATGCCACGTTTCACGGAACAAGTTGAAGCTGCAGTGGAAGCCCTCAGCGGAGAGTCTAATCTGCCAGTGGATGAAAATGAATTTATTGATGCATCAAGATTAGTATATGATGGAATTCGTGACATTCGGAAAGCTGTACTGATGATCAGAGTAAGTTTGCCTTTGGTAGTAAAATTATTTGTGTGTGTGTAACTAATCATACACTTGGTAAAGAATGCTGTTGCAGTCTGTTTAATGGAGGGGGAAGAAAACACTCATGGTTTGGAAACTGTAAAATGCAAGATGCAGTGAATAACATTGGTTACATCGTTACAATGACACCTTTTAAGGGGTGGGATATAAAGCATAAATTGAAGTTCAATTTCATGTGTTGGGTGAAAAGATCTGAGTGACTGACAAGTGCCAAATGGTGAAGGCTAGATTACTGGGTCAGAGTAGCTCCAAAACAGCAAGTCTTGTGGGGTGTACCCAGTATGCAGTGTTTAGTACCTACCAAAATGGTGCAAGTAAGGACAACCGGTGTCATGGCCATGTTACTTTGACTTTACCACCTACCTAGAGTTTGTTGCAGACCACGTACATCCATTCATGGCAATGCTGTTCCCTAGTGGCAGTGGCCTTTTTCAGCAGGATAATGCACACTGCAAAAACTGTTCAAGAATGGGTTGCAGAACATGAAGAGTTTAACGCGTTGCCTTGGCCTCCATTTTCCCCAGATCTCAATCCGAGCCTTTGTGGGATGTGCTAAAAAAGTAGAACGTGATGGCGGATAACAGCTATTCGGCCCATCTAGACTGCCCAATTTTCTAAATGCTTTAATTTGTCTCTTATATCTAGGATAGCCTTATGCCTATCCCATGTGCATGCTTACACTCTGTAAATGCGATCTATGGAGGCCCCACCTCACAACTTGAAGGAATTAAAGGATCTGCTTCTAGGATCTTGGTGCCAGATACTTTAGGATACGTTAAGGGGTATTTCCTCGACGCAACAGAGCTCTTTGGGCACCATTAGTGAGACCTATACAGTAATAGGCAGGTGGTTTTAATGTTGTCTGATCAGTGTACTGTTACACAAATAGAACTGGAAAGACCGTCATGGTGATAACACAAGCTTCGGGTGTTGACAAACACCCGTAGTTTAAGGCTACTAATTTTATTAAAATGTTACCTTCTGTATCTTATGGATTACCAAGATGTGTAGTTTTTCCTCAAAGACCTTTTGTCGTATTTACCCCAAGTAATACGCATCAGCAAGGTGTCAAATTTGCAGTTTCAACTCCTCCCACAAATAATCTAATAGGAAGCTGTGAAACTAGCACTCAGATGCAATAAAAGCCTAAAAGCGTTTCTGTTTGCTGTAATACTTGGATCAGTCATTTAGAAAAAATGTGTAATTGGAAAATTTGAGTCTTAAATCTTACCCTGGTTTGAATGTCTGCAACAGTCACTTGTGTTGATATACTTGAATGCAGTCTTCAATATTGTTACCAGTTTTAGCCAGTAATGTTTGTTATGCATATCTGTCTTGGTTATCAAAACAAAAAATGAAGGAAGTCTTAACAATTTGTTAGAACAGACATACTTTTTTGGAGTCTTACTTTTGTCAAGTTCAGAGTATGTATGGGTTTTCATGTATCGGCAATTTGCTGGGTATCTGATCCCATCCTCCCAGGTATTGGAACATTATACAATTTTTAGCTTGATTTTAAAACCTTTTGTATCAAATGACAAGTGGCACTATGAGATTTACTTTGCTTTACAAACCTATTTTATCCTCCTGTTAAGAAGCCTCTTGCAATGTATGCATTGTTTGTTGTAATCTGATCTTAAAGGTTACCTCATGACAAAACCACTTAATCCTAAATGATAGAGAATCCAGTTTAATTTTTTTCCTATCTTTTTTTCTTTTCTAGACCCCTGATGAGTTGGATGATTCAGACTTTGAGCCAGATGACTTTGATGCCAGGAGCAGAACCAGTGTACAGACTGCAGATGATCAGCTTATTGCTGGACAAAGTGCACGGGTAAACTTTTAGCTCTTCTACTGAAACCTTAAAGTCAAAACTACAATATTGTTCCCCTCCTAATACATTTTGATATATACAAACAAACCCTATACAGATGTTGGTGTAGTCAAAGAACTACGTTATTGTTCCCCTCATAATAAATTTTGATATATACAAACTATACAGTTGTTGGTGTTGGCGTACTATGGCATTTTACAATTTAGAGGTAATCTTATATTTGTCTTTATTCCAGGCAATCATGGCTCAGCTTCCTCAAGAACAAAAGGCTAAAATTGCCGAGCAAGTTGCTAGCTTCCAAGAAGAAAAGAGTAAACTGGATGCTGAAGTGTCAAAATGGGATGATAGTGGAAATGATATTATTGTGCTGGCCAAGCAGATGTGTATGATCATGATGGAGATGACTGATTTCACAAGGTGAGGCTTGACAACCAATCTGACATAACTAGAGAAACCAGAATAAAGCCAGAAAAACTTTGAAAATTATATAATGTTCATAAACTTAATATAAACTTGGTCAGATTGTATTGTTAGACACGCCTCTCAGCTAGGAGAGTTTCTTCAGCACCCGCATCTTTTCCACCCATCTCAATTTCAGACCAACTGCCGAACTCCTTAAGGACTGCGGTTGTAATAGGTACGTCTGACAAAACCGGTCCTTTTGCCACAGAGGTACGTCTGCGGCAAATATATTACTCAATCGTTGCTGTTTCCCCACCGGCGAACGTTGTTGCTTCCGGTCTGGGGGCACTGGCTGACAGTCCAGCCAGTCTCCCCTCAGCAAACATGGCCGCAATAGGCGTCCATAGTGCTGCCTGCAGGACAGGCAATCTCCCTGCTTCTGTTAAAAAAAAAAAAATAAATACATACTTTAATTTATTATTTAAATTTTGTATGTCAAGAAGGGAGCACTCTGGAGTCTTTGTAATAAATTCAGTGTCAAACTGTTGCTTTATTTTTCAAAAACAGTGATACAACGTAGAACATATAAGTCGACGATTCAGTCTAGACTTTTTTTCAAGAGAAGTGAAAAATGTCTGCATAGACTGAAACGTCGACTTATGTTGTATCACTGTTTTTGCGAAATAAAGCAACAGTTTGACACTGAATTTATTACAATTACTCGAGTGCTCTCTATTTGGATGAGAGCGAGACTTTTCTGAACACAAATATTAGTGTTTCAATACAGTAAAACCATCACAGCAATGATTTTGTCAGTGAAAGCAACGTTTACATAAATGGCACTTTCACTGATATTGTGATATGTTTTACGGTTTTGAAACACTAATATTTGTGTTCAGCGAAGTCCCTTGAGCATAACCGTACCCCCATGTACAGGTTTTATGGTGTTTTTGAAGGTTACAGGGTCAAATATAAGGCTTGTGTTTTTTTTGGTTTTTTTTTTTCACATTGAAATTTTACCAGATTTTTTCTTCAATCCTTTTTTATAGTAAATTTATGATCTGACAATGGTATCTTTATAAAGACCATTAAATGGCAAGGAAAAAATGTATAATGTATGGGTACCGTAAATGAGAGACAAAAATTACAGGTAAACACAAACACAGCAGAAATGTAAAAACAGCCCTGGTCCTTAACGGTAAGAAAATTAAACTGTCTGGTCACGAAGGGGTTAAAAGACTTGTCTCAAAGTGATGCATGTCCCTTTTAATGGAACAATATAAAGCTTTTTCTGCTGTGGTTTTTGTATTCACTATAAAAATTTGCTCTACAGAGCTAGTCACATGGCGATACTATATCTATGAATGTTGTATTTTCAGTTGTAACTTGAAAGTCATGCTGTTACCTTATTTTTTATTTTTTTTTTGTCTCTCCTGGCCAGATTTTACACATTTCATGTGTATAATGGAACCAGGTTCACTAATTAACTCCGCAAATGTCACACTTGCATTTAAATACACGTATGCATATTACATTTAGTAACTGTTAAAGAGGAAAAAGTGTCCACACCTGTTTAACAAAGTAGGTTAAAATGTATTGCAAACGGAGGGTCTTCAGACTGCAGGAAGAGAGGATAACTCGAAAAGCTAAGGTGGTGGTAAGAAATAGATTTTAAAAAAGTGTTACCTGTCCGACACAGCCAAGTTTCAATTCTGACCTGCCTTACAAGCATGAGGAGAGTCCAAGATTGCCGCCACGCACCCACATCTCTTGAGACAAGCAGGTCCAGAACTGGAGAGAAGTCTAAGGAAAAACTTGAAAAGCTATTCCGAGAATTTTGGAACCGTATAGAATGCCGATCGAATGTACCTACCTTGCATGCCCCGCCGCAGACTCCAGAAGCCGCTCTGGCTCATTGTCCCACCACTGAGCCGGGAGCCCACGTGGAGCCGATTCCACAGCACAGTTCTCACTCCCGAGGGGAAACCCAAAGGCTGAAACCTCGGAGGGCTCACAATCCTTCCGATGGGAAAGGAGAGATCCCTGGACCTCCGGCATTGATTCCTAATGAGTCCTAGGCTAGAAGTAACGAGTATACCTGGCATGGGGGACTGTTCCTGCCCTTTTATGCTACAAGCCAGCCCATCTTGAGTGGTGGAGGTGAGGGAAGAGAGCTGGTTTCAAACTGCCCTATCTAAGCAGGACTTTCAGTGGCATAGGCTGACTGACCTAGACAGATTCTTCACCAATCCAGGAGGATAATCTTCTGTATTATAGAAATGCATGTTTTATATGTTCGCTTCTCTTGTTAGTACCCAGAGGCTTATAACCTTTTTAGATTTCAATAGCTGAATTAACTTATTACGAACAAATTGTGTGTTTACCCTGAATGCCATGCTATATATTATAGTATCTGTCAATGCTGTTGTGGCAACACGAGTCTCTGTTCTTACTCACACTGCAAAAATAAAGAATAAAAAAAAAAACTATTAAACAGCTGTCAAGTCTGACAGTGAGTCGAAAGCCAGTATTGGTAAACTGAAGAGACGTTGCAGTACGCAATTTTATGTCCTCTTAAGTCACTGCGAACTAAAAAATGTCCCATTATCCCTGCAATTTACACGTTTGTGTAGGAGAGCGCATTAAGGGTACCCCAACCAAAGAAGGGCTTTTAATAAACTTAACTTTGCTACCAAAGGTAAGCATCATTAGTAGACCAAAGTTTAACTAATTCTGTATGTGCAGTATTACTGAAATCCTGCACGTACAGACTCCAAACACCCTGACCACTTCAAAGCAATTGAAGTATATATGAAGCAATAGCCTAATTGTAGGTTAAATGGCAACACTGATACCAGGACTTTCTGATTTTATTTTTTTTTTTTTTAAATCTATTTTGCTGTTTCTCTATAAACATCAGCAGGGATAGATATAGAAATAAATTATTTTATTTTTTCCTGACTTGTGGTTTGGGGGGATTTGTACATCTGCACAGTTGCAATACAACTGAATTAAACACTTGCCAGCATGTAACCAGACCAAGCAAAGTTGCGGTGTTAATTTTTTATTGGTGGATTTGGTTTAATAGAGTAATGGACTTTCATTTCTTCTACAGAGGAAAAGGACCCCTTAAAAATACATCAGATGTAATTAGTGCTGCCAAGAAAATAGCAGAAGCTGGATCACGAATGGATAAGTTGGGCCGTACCATTGCTGACCATGTAAGTAACATATGTTTTTAGGACTTTAGAGAATTTTTTTCGTACCATTGGGTACTTAATAATAGACCCAAACAAAATAATTCTAGCCAATTTGGAGATTTATGTTTCCATTAATTACAACTCTTGGCAAACCATTCTCATATTGGGGTTTTTAAACCCTATTTTCTTGATCTTGTTTATTGTTTGAAAATGGTTTGTATTAAAAGAACACTAGCATTATGAATACAAAAGTCTATTCCTAATGCTATAGTGTGCTGCAAACTATTTAGGTATCTTCTTGTCAGAAGATTAAAAAAATAATAAACTAAGGCAATTAAATGCTTCTCTAAGTGGAGGCTAGGAGCAGCATATGAATGAGAAGTTTCACTTGGTTCTCAATGGAAAGGGCCTCTAGTGGCTGTCAGGAATACTGCCATTAGGGTTGTGTTTAAAGGGAACCTCTCATGCCCAACAGTACTTCTCTGTGCTTGTTAAATTCTATCTGTACATTGTGCTAGCAAATGCATAGTTTGGAATAAATGCCTATTTAAAATTATTATTTATAATTTTTTTTTTTTTTTTTTTTCTTATCTGAATCTGTTCCTAGACAGACACTTAATGTCACGGAATTGAGAGGCATGGAGAGCCGAGGGAAGGTCCCTCTGCTCTTCACCCATAGCAACCATAGTGCATGCTCCTTGGTTGTTATGGTAATTCCCTAGCTCGCGCTGGATAGGGAATATGAACCAAGTAAAGTCACATCACTCTATTACTAGATGCTGGCAACAAAGCCAGCTTGTCTGCCTAATGGAAGTTTTTTTCCTTTCTTGGGGATGTGTCCCCAAGCAGGGCAAATAAACAAAGAGCACAAGAGGAACACAGTTGGACAGGAGGTGGGTGTTACAGAAGTGTCACCTCTTTAATTGGATCTTGGCAGTGGAGTGAAGGGCCAAGTACAGCATGACAGTTTCCCTTTTAAGCATTACCGGAACTACTAAACAGCCATATATTTTAGACTGCAAGGCTAATCTATCTAATTATAAAATGAAAAAAAAAAAAAAAAAAAAAATATATATATATATATATATATATATATATATATATATATATATATATATATATATATATATATACACATACATACATACATACACACCGTCTAGATAGATAACTATAAAGTATAAATAAATTGGGGAAAATACAATCTAGACCAGTGACATTGCAAATGTGAAAGTGAGATGAAAAATAACGTGAAAGTGAGATGAAAATTTTAAAGAGATGCAGGAGAAATCCTAAAAGGGGAAGATTTCAGTTTTTAAACTGAAATTAAAATAGAACATTTATTAATAAAAACGCCTTTAAAGATTATTGTCTCAACACCCTGAATTTAAACTTGGTCACTAGAGGGCACTCTAATACTTGGCTAATTTAAGTCAACATAAAAATGTTCCTTTTAAGGTGGCTTTCTGAAGTTCTAGTATCAGGAACACAAACCTGTCTTGCTGACAGTGGTAAAATAGACATTTAGGTGACAGGCCCTTTAAATATTGTTTAAAATCACTATAAAAAAAATAACCTTTCTCCCCATCGCTGTGCCGTGAAAAGGTGGTATTTACATTAAAAAGACTGCAGAGACAGGCTAGACCCTAAAGTAAGCTGTTGTGGTGACTAGAGTGTCCCCTTTAAGTCAGACTTGTAACAAAGCGTGACTAATGCTTAACTAGCTGTATTTATTTGTGTGTGTGTATAATATTCTGTAACTTAAAACAAAACTATTTTATATTAAAGGGACACTCCAGGCACCCAGACCACTTCTGCTCATTGGAGTGGTCTGGGTGCTAGCTCCCACCACGCTTAACCCTGCAACTGTAATTATTGCAGTTTTTTTATAAACTGCAATAATTACATTGCAAGGTTAACTCCACCTCTAGTGGATGTCTACTAGACAGCCACTAGAGGGCACTACCGCGTTGATGGCAAAGATTTTCTTTGCTAGAGTGTCGCTGGACGTCCTCACGCTGTGTGAGGACCTCCAGCATCTGTTACCCATCAATGCTTTCCTATGGAGAGACCTAATGCGCGTGTGCGGCATTGCCGCGCATGCGCATTAGGTTTCCTCGGCGGGTGGGATCTGTCTCGCCCACCGGCTGACACGATTACTGGGAGGAGCGACGCCGACACGAAACCACCACCGAGGGATATCTGCGGGGTCTCAGGTAAGTGACCTGAAGGGGTTTTCACCCCTTCAGCTACCTAGGATGGGAGGTGGGAGGGAGAGGGTATCTGCGGATTGTTTTCCTGGTACTGGAGTTTCCCTTTAACCCATCTGGGTTGGGACACCATTTATGTGCTCCATACTGAACTTTGTTTCAGTATTTGGATAAAAGGGAGTACCAGAAAAGCTGCTTTGACCTAGTACTCAGCGGAAAGACTTGTGGTGAAAAAGAAACCATTAAAGATGACGCAAGACAAGCACTCTAGGTTAGAGGTGAGAGTGAACTGGGCACCTAAGTGCCCTTATGAAGGCCTGAAGGAATCATTTGAGCTTTGTAAATGTATTCCACATTGGACAAAGAGACAGGTGTACCAGAAGTAAAATGCTAACTCAGCGCCCTGAAAACAATCTAAAGGGATGTGCCACTTTGCTAGCATCTTAGAAGTATAGGCTAGTGTACAGGAGGTTATGTGCATGTGTGTAAAACCATAGAAACATGGAATGAGAAGGAAACTATAAAGGATCTGTAGCAATGGCATTTAAAAACCTTTTTAATTTAATTTTTATCCTTGTTTTTAGTGTCCTGATTCTTCCTGCAAGCAAGATCTTGTAGTATATTTGGAACGCATTGCCTTGTATTGCCATCAATTAAATATATGTAGCAAAGTTAAGGCTGAAGTTCAGAATCTTGGAGGAGAACTTGTGGTATCAGGAGTAAGTACTCTTTCTTTATAACGTTAATACTGCAATTAATTTTATGGTCCCCAACACAGCTTGAGTGGCTTTGAGGTTTCGCCTCATTCATGTTGTGCTTTTCTCTCTAACCAGGCACATGAAAATAACTTTAACTCCTTCCTGACCGGTGATGTACCAGGTACGTCCGCCAAAAAAGGTTGTTGACCACCGCGGACGTACCTGGTATGTCATTTAGTAAATTGGCACTTACCTGATCGCTGGCTTTTTTTTTTTTTTTTTTTTTTTTCCAGCGAACTCAATCCTGGGGTCTGCCTGGGAGCTCAGGCAGACCCCCACTGCCCGATCGTGCCCTCCTGCGCCATGTGATCGTGGTGTTCTCGCGATCACATGGCCGGAATAGCCGGCTTGTGCAATACCTGCCTGAACTCTCAGGTAGACCCCCTAGTGTCTGGGGGAAAAAAGTTTAAAAGTTAACTAAAAGTTTACAAAGTACATAAAAAGTACTTGGAGAAATGTATCTCTCGAAGTACTTTAACATGCACATAAACACACCATTATTAAGTGTTTTAATATAATTTATATATTAAATAAATTGAAAAAATAAACATTACATAAACATAAAATTATATACCAGTTTCAATTTGTTCTAACTGTATTTTGATTGTAATATACATATATATTTAAATCAAAATCCATTTAGAATGATGTTCTAAATAAATATCCCCTTGATGACTGCGGACATCCTAGGTACGTCAGACAAAAAAAGTCTAAGTACAGCGGACGTACCTAGAATGTCTGCAGAAAATGGGAGCCCTGGACTGGCTATCCGCGGCAATCACCGTTTGGGGGGGGGGAGGAGGAGGAGGAGGAGAAGAGAGTCCCCCTGCAGTAGCTCTGGCACTCCAGGGCCATGTGATCATAAAGAAAAGAGGGATGGAACAGCACTATACAAAGGAGGAGGCGGCTGCACACCTGAGAGGAAGGGTAACCCTCAAAACCGTTCAAAGCACTGGAAAAACAGAAAACAACAAGTACAGGGTGCGCCAAGAACAAAGTGAATAAATAGAAAAAAAAAAAAAGGGAAACCGGTAAATTCAAGTCTCTAATTCACAGGTATATTCTTCAGAAATTCTCAAGATGTCTTGGGTCAAATCCTTATCTGCATATAGGAAGAAAAAAAAAAACACAGAGGGGACCAATGGTGCAGTAACTTAAAGGAGTATGGCCACAAACATCACTGAGGATAAGAAATGCCAACTCTCATTTATGGGAGCTATAACCAGGTGTTTTAATCTAAATAAGAGTGGTTTTTTTTTTTTCTGACTACCTGCTATTTTGGTTAGTCTCTTTAATTTTAAATACTTTTTTATATTTATCCTTTTTTTTTTTTTTTTTAATTAATTTATTTATTATTTTTTTTACCTGGCATATCCTAACATCTGAAGCTTTTATACCATCCAAGGAGTCCGTGGTGTGGATTGTTCCACCCAGGCGCCTTACACAGAGCGTAATAACACTTTTTTAATATAGAGAGCATTATGGGCCTTCTCTTGTGTTTTTTATTTATTTTTTTTTTATTTCATATGACCTACACTGAAAAGATAGTCAGAAGAATATCCTACATGTGGGGAGTTTAAATACCACTGTATGCTGTTTTAACTAGAGCTGGTTATAGCGTCCATAAATGGGACTTGGCATTTCTTAACCTCAATGTTGTCTGTGGCCATACTCCTTTAAGTTACTGCACCATTGGCCCTGTGTGGTGTGTGTGTGTGTGTTTTGTTGTTTTTTCATTCATATATGCTGATGAGGATTTGACCTAAGACGTCTTGAGAATTTCTGAAGTATATACCTGTGAATTAGACTTTAATTTGTCTGTTCCCATGTGATCACTCCTATCCACACACTAAGGAGTACCACCAGGTGGGCCTGTTTTAGCAGGGGCCCGGTCAGGCACTGTGGCCCTTTAACAGCACGACCAGGCCCCATGCTTTTCGTCAGCCGGCTGGGTGGAAGTGACAGCCGCAAGTCACTTCCTCCCACAGAGAGAGAAGCTGCGCGGGAGGGAGGAGCAGGCAGTGAGGACGGGGGCTCCTCACTCCTATCAGCCTCATGCACCACACTGGACCCCAGGGAAGCCACGCTCCAGAAAAAGGTAGGAAACTGGGGTGTGGGTTTAACAAATGTAAACTGTACGTGTGTGTCTCAGTATGTCTGTATATCTGACACACACACATTGACAGGCATACTGACACCCACAGATGTATACACTGACAGATATACTGACACACCATATAAATACATTAACTGTCAGTATGTCTGACCATATATGTGTATCTGTGCGTCTGAGCATCTGCATGTGTCAGGTTGTGTATCGGTTTGTTTCTATATCTGCATGTGTGTATGTACTTCAGTGTGTGTCAGTGTATTTTTTTTTTCTTTGTTAATTTATCTCAGCATTCAACACTAACACTACATACAAACACACTCCTGCAGCGGAACGTCAAAACTACATACAAACAAACGTCTGTGTTAAACACCAAAAGTATATATACACTCACCACTACATTCAAAAACCAACACTACACATAAATGCATGCTTGATTCAAACTCCAACACCACATGCAAACACACCTCATTCACACAAACATAATCCATACAAAAACATTCCATTCCATTCAAACCCCCAAACACAGCTCAGTACTACATCGAACCATGCAAGCATGGGAAACTGGTAGAGCCCCAGTTGTCAAAGCATTATTGGAGTTGCACGACAGATGGGATCTACCTTTTGGCCAAGTTTGAGATTGGTGGGCTCAAATATTCCTTGCACCAGGGCTCTTTCTACTTTATTTCCGCCACTGCATTGGGGTGGAGGGTGTGATTGCATGCCAGGGAGTGGTGAGGGGAGCAGAGACCAGGGGCCCAAAGCAAATGCTTGCCCAGGGTCCAATCGATATTAAAGATGGCCCTGCATATATATATTATTTCATTAGAAGCGTACTTTGAGATATATACATATATTCTAAAATGCTTTTAATTATATTGTATGTGTTAATCTGTACATACACATGTATTTTGTGTGTGTGTGTGTTTGATTTTATGAATAATTTGAGGAACCTGCCTGACAACACAGGCAGACAGTCCAGATAATTTAATTGGTAAGCCCTATATTTAACCCCGTAACTTTCCAAAACTCCATAAAAACCTTTACATGGGGGGGTATTGTTATACTCTGGAGACGTCACTGAACACAAAAACTAGTGTTTTAAAAAGTAAAACTTATCATGACAATGATATCACCAGTAAAAGTGCAGTTTTTGTGTAAAAAAAAATAATAATAATAAATAAATAAAAATTAAATGTAAAAAAACAACGCTAACTACAAGTTAAGTGGCTACTACAAAAGACTGGACATACCCCCTTTTGAATACCCTGGGTTGTCTACTTTTACAAATGGTATGCCATGATGGGGTTAACGTTAATTCCTGGGCTGCTATACTGTCTCAAAGGCAACATAGGCCCAGCAAACCAATCTGGCAAATTTCAATGTGCAAACATGGAAAAGGTGAAACTTGTAAGTTTGCAAAAACCCATAAAACCTGTACATTGAGGGCACTGTTGTAGTCATTAGATGTTGCTCAACACATATTGGGGTGTTCTTTGTCAGTAATCCATAACAGGAACTGAGAATCCATGCCTAAAGTACACAGTGTATGAAAAATAACAGAAAATGACTACCCAAAAGGTTGACAAAGACTGGTGGTAGAATTAGTGCATGGAAAGTGTTAAAATACCACCATTTGAAATACCCTAGGGTGTCTACTTTTCAAAAAATATGGTTTGATGGAGGTAAATTACACTGTCCAGCTTCAAAAATGTCCCAAATAGGACATGGGTGCATGATGAACAGCAGTAAAAATTCCAAGTTGGAAAACTGGAATGCGCACTCTGCAAATATGGTCTTTTAGCCCTCAGAGAACCCAACACACCTATACATGGGTGGTATCACTGGACTCTGGAGATGCTGCTAAACACATATTGGTGTGTTCTTTAGCAGTAATCATTAATATTCTCAGTACATGTATTCTTAAATTGCTATGTGTGTCAAAAAAAAATCACCAATTATTGTATTTTAAATTTGGCATAAAATGGTTGCATGAAGAGTCAAAATACCCCAGGTTTAATATATATATATATATATATATATATATATATATATATATATATATATATATATATATATATATATATATATATATATATATTTTTTTTTTTTTTCTTCTCTCCACATAGCTAAGGTGACCAGCACTCACGGATTCATTAACAGGTTAAAACATCCAAAATTTATTGAAAATTTAAAAAAAAATTGACAGCTCAACGTTTCAGTCCTCCTCTGGGACTTTCATCAGGAACAGAGGAGGACTGTTTTAACCTGTTAATGAATCCGTGAGTGCTGGTCACCTTTGCTATGTGGATATCTGGCTTTTCCCTAGGACTACAAGCACCTGGTATGTAACTGTTAAGCCTGAGTGCAAGGATCTTGTGTGTATATATGTATGTGTGTGTGTGTGTATATATGTATGTGTGTGTGTGTATATATATATATAATTACACACGCATATGTGAAGGGTTATTTAAGGATTTCTGAGGGATATCAGTGTTACAAAGTAACCTTTTTGTTAATTTTGGGGAACAAAATGGTTTGGAAACTGTAAAGTGCTACTTGTACCTTTTTGCCCTGTAACTTTCCAAAAAAAGCTTATAACATGTTAATATTGGGTATTTCTAAACTCAGGATAAAACTTAAACTATTTAGCACGGGTGTTTTTGCGGTTGTAGATGCGCAACAGATTTTGGGGGTCAAAGTTAGAAAAGGGGGGGGGGGTGGGGTTTTTTAAAAAATTTTTTTTTTTTTTTTTTTTTTTAGTAATTTATAATGATGAAAATAATGGTATCTTTAGCCCCTTAAGGACACAACTTCTGGAATAAAAGGGAATCCTGACGGAATATTTGGGAAAAACTGTCTGGTCACTAAGGGGGTTATAGGTGATACCTGTAGCATGGCTTAGTAAGAAACAATACTTGCAAAACCATTTTTCCCTTTGTTTGGAGCAGTATAAGGAGATTGTTTGGTAGACATATGATTGATTAGTTTTCTACTAATGTATAAAGCTGGTATTTTCATTCCATTTGCTATAAATACCCAGGCCTTGAGTTTAACCGCAGTATTGGGTGCAAAGGAGGACCTAATCAAACCATGAGCTTTTGGTAATACAACTTGCCACTGATCTGATGTAACCATGGCCATGTAGGATGTGTATATTCTACGTTTGCTCCATTGGTTTCATCTGCATCAGTATAGATTGGCATTACGTCATTGTTAGAAACAAGAAATTGCTTTTCATTGTTGAACAGCCTTTTGTTTTATAGATGTTTGTAAGCTAAATACATGGCTAAATTGTAACTGAAATAAAAAATTTTCTTAATATTGTAGGTTGATAGTGCTATGTCCCTCATTCAAGCTGCTAAAAATCTGATGAATGCTGTAGTGCAAACCGTTAAAGCTTCATATGTAGCTTCTACGAAATACCAGAAGTCACAAGGAATGGCATCTTTGAATCTTCCAGCAGTTTCATGGAAAATGAAGGCTCCAGAGAAGAAGCCTCTTGTCAAAAGAGAGAAGCAGGATGAAACCCAAACAAAAATTAAACGGGCATCTCAGAAGAAACATGTTAATCCTGTTCAGGCCCTCAGTGAATTTAAGGCAATGGAAAGCATATAAATCTATTTTTAACTCTATGTATTGATGCTTCCAATGTTGCTTTTGTTTTTTTTTCTTCTAAAGTTTTAAGACTCACTAATTTTTGCAAAAATGTAAATTAAAATTTCCACAATATAAAAGAGAACATTTCTATTGAATTTTCTTGCAGAACTAATAAGCAAACTTTTGGAATAGTTTTTATAGCAATCTTACAGTTTTATGTGCGTGTGTTAATCTATAAATCTATTAATTTTACTCAAGATGGGTGTGTTTCTATTGTTTTGCAAATTGCTATGGTATGAGGTTATTACTGCCACACATGGTTTTGAATTTTTTTTTTTTTTTTTCTTAAGGATATACATATTGAGCTTTACAATGCATTTCAAATATCTTTCAAGATTATGTAGCTGCTGTGTATTTTTGGTTAATAAAGTCCTTTTATAGTTAACTTTGATTTGTTTTCTTTCTCCCTGCTGTACATATAACTTTGTTTTAAAAGTTGACACTAAAACGTTTGAATGCTTTTGTATGTTTTTTGACAGGGTTGATGTTCCAGGAGGGATAAGACAAATGGCAAATGATTTAGGTAAACTAGAAAAATGGTCAGAATTGTGGCAACTGACATTTAATGTGGATAAGTGCAAGATAATGCAATTTGGACGTAAAAACCCAAGGGCAGAGTACAGAATATTTGATAGTCCTAACCTCAACCTATGAGGAACATATGAGGAAAGGGATTTAGGGGTGATTATTTCTGATGACTTAAAGGTAGGCAGGAAATGCTAGCAGAATGCTTGGTTGTATAGGGAGAGGTATTAGCAGTAGAAAGAGGGAGGTGCTCATGCCATTGTACAGAACACTGGTGAGACTTCACTTGGAGTATTGTACGCAGTACTGGAGACCGTATCTTCAGAAGGATATTGATACCTTAGAGAGGGTTCAAAGAAGGGCTACTAAACTGGTTCATGGATTGTGGGATAAAACTTACCTGGAAAGGTTTAAAGGATCTTAACATGTTTACCACTTAGTTTGTCAGATTAGAGTTTTAATTGAGTGGTTTTGTTCTGTAAAGGGGCAGACTAGCCAAATGATGACCTGAACAGGCAAAATTATTACTTGAAAGTGCTTTTAAGTAATATCCAGAAGTATATATTTAAACTTTTTTTTTTTTTGTGCAAGGTCTACAGCCGATGCTGGAGAGACAGAAATATAGATATAGTATCCCACTGATATCAGCTCAGCTATATGGGTGTTCAGTACATACCTGCTGTAAGCCAGGTCCCAAGTGTACTACATCGGGGTTACAAAAACAGATCAGTGGACAGTCCAGTCCCCCGCACCACTTGGCAGTTTAGCGGGCAGTCAGTTGCAAGTGCCTGGGTCAATATTTAAGTTATTTTTAAATAAACAGATTTGTATTTTCTGGCATGATTTTTAGGGATTCTTAACTTTTCTGGTCTCGCCAGGCACACAGTGTCACCAGCACTAAGAGGGCTTTTCTCTGTCTCCATCTCTCCCTGATGTCAGCAAACATAAGCTCTGCAAAATTAATCCCACGGACCCAAAATCTATATGTGTACAGAACTGGATTTCTCCTTAGGCAGAGTAGGCACCTGTTTACAGGTGCCTGACTACTAAGGAGTGCCAGTTTTTAGCACTTATAATGTGCCTTTTTGAGCTTAAAGTGACTTAGTCACAAGAACCACTACAGCTTAATGTAGTGGTTCTAGTGTCTAGCATGCCCTTGCAGGCTTTTTAATGCCTTAAAGATGGCGGGCGTACTATGCCGTCCTGGCCCCCTGGACTTACCTGGACCGGCGATCCCGGTGGGGGGACTGCCAGAGAGCCCAGCAGTCCACCTGCAGCAGCTCCGGGCCCTCCAGGGCCATGGGATCGCCATGATCACATGGCCGCAATAGAAGTCTATGGAGTTGCCTGCAGGAGGACTGTCAGGCAGTCCCCCTGACACCTAAAATGTAAAAATAAAATTAATGAAATAAGTCTCTCTCTCTCTCTCTCTCTCTCTCTCTCTCTCTCTCTCTCTCTCTCTCTCTCTCTCTCTCTCTCTCTCTCTCTCTCTCTCTCTCTCTCTCTCTCTCTCTCTCTCTCTCTCTCTCTCTCTCTCTCTCTCTCTCTCTATATCTATCTATATCTATCTATATCTATATCTATATCTATATATATATTTGCAATCGGTTAATGGGTGCCACACGACGACCTGTGTGTGGTCGTCCATTCGGTAGGTTGTTCGTTTCACGAACCGTGTTGAAACTCACTGTTCGTGAAACTACAGTATGAATGCTGGGGTTTTCATGCTGCCAGAATACAAATGCCCTAATTTGCTTGGAATGTAAATACAGTTATATATATAATATAAAGCATTTTACAATATAGTATGCATATAAGTGTACTTTTGAGATATATACATATGTATGTAGCGGAGAGTTCTTAATCCAGCTCTATTAACTGTAAGTAAGAACTCTTCTATTTTTACATATTTGGATTACTCTTCACGCCACCGACACCTGGATATCGCAAAAAGTAGAACTTTGGAAACTACAATATAGATCCTATTGGACTCAATACTATTATATATTGTGCACATTAGCGCAGACCCATCCCCCCCATTTTCCTGCTTTTATCATTGATTTCCAGGGACATTAGAGGGAGTCCTTGTTTGGGACTGCTGCCTTCCTGATTAGCGCTGACTCCACCCCTTGTTCTGCAAAGCAGGTTAAATCCAGGTAGCGTAGTTATAATCCCTTCCTCCCAAGAAATAGACGACACACAGCTTGGAGGTCAACTGAGGTTTTATTCACAGGGCACTGTATTTATGGGATTCCCCATGCAAGGGGTTTCCCTACTGACATTCCAGGGAGGGTACAGTAGGGGACTACATGGGGGACTGAACACATACATTTCTCCCACCATGCACTGCTGTACGAGAGGGATACTCCCTCTAGAATATACAGCTAAGTGGATTATCCCTCCGTGCAGCAGAACTTTACATTTTACATTAAAATACATAACTTCCATAATATTCCCTTTATTTAAACGAATGGACGTTCGGTAGATTGCTGGGGTCTGAGCGCACAGTTTGTGAGAATACCGCTCAGATCCCAGCCTTACTAACCGAACGCCGCACGAAACACACATTATTTTCAAATCACCTTTAACGTACCAATCGGTATTATGGGAACAAACTACCGAACACCCGGGGCTCCTGGAGGTCCAGCGGTGTTCACGACGTCGAGTAGCCAATTTTAGTTTCAGGCGCTCAACGACCAAACACCGCTGGGCTAACAAAGGAACCGAGATGGCAGACCGCCGCGTGGTCGGTAGCTGAACGACGGCCACCTAGGGAAGCCTTTAACTACAAATTGCAACAATGTTGCAATCGGTTAATGGGTGCCACACGACGACCTGTGTTTGGTCGTCCATTCGGTAGGTTGTTCGTTTCACGAACCGTGTTGAAACTCACTGTTCGTGAAACTACAGTATGAATGCTGGGGTTTTCATGCCGCCAGCATACAAATGCCCTAATTTGCTAGGAATGTAAATACAGTCATATACTTGGTTCTCACAGCTTTAGAAGGAATATAAACAGATTCATATAGTGATAGTCTTAAGTGGCTAGTTTTGCCACAATGTACAGTATATTAATTTTACATTTGATTTTATGAATTATAATTGTCAGTAAAAGTGCAGGTTTTGTGTAAAACAAAAAAATGAAAAACACTAATATAAACGCTAACTTTGGCAAGTGTTTGTGGCTACTACAAAAGACTGGACATACCCCATTTTGAATACCCTTGGTTGTCTACCTTTTCAAATGATATGTCATGGTGGGGTTAATTTTCATTTCTGGGCTGCCATACCATCTCAAAGGCAACATAGGCCCAGCAAATCAATCTGGCAAATTTCAATGTGCAAACATGGAAAAGGGGAAAGCCCTACATTTGACCCCTGTAAATTTGCAAAAACCTATACATTGGGGGTACTGTTGTACTCGTGAAACATTTCTGAATACAAATGTGTATTTTAGTTCTGTAAAATCCAACAGGATTATGACATTCATAAAATGCCATGTAGAACTTGAAAAAAAACTTAATTTTTCATACTTTTTTATATTTCATATTAAATTGTTTCATATATAAATATTTGATATAAAATGAAAGGCCTGTTTCTCTTGAACAAAATTTTATATATAGAATATATAATGTGTGTGTGTGTGTGTAGAAAGGCCATTAGGCCTGAATTTGTGGGAGGAGTAAGTCCCCTACTTAAACTCCCAGCCCCTACTCACCTCTGACGTTCAAGTGTTCCTGAACAACTTCCGGTTTGTGTGACTTCCGGTCCAGGCGTCCTATCTGTCAGCTGCAGTCTCCGACAGAATCCTCCGTCCTATCTGCGGTCCGGTCCATACTTACGGTAATTCCGGTCCCCTACACGCCGCTCTGTGGTCTTACCAGCGGAACGCACATGGCGGTAATCTTACCGGGGACCACCCACGGTCCCCACACTACGGCATCTAGGCGGTCGGTTTTGTACATCTTGCCGGGGGGGTCCTACACCCCCCTCAGACTCATAGGTTCGCGGTACGTTACTACCTTCGGTCAAAAACGTTACTCTTGTAAATAGGGGCGCGTAAATCCGCATTGGGTTAGCCTCTGCAGTTCTAGCACAGACTATGCTACAATACTGTGTATATATAAAGGATGCCATAATTCACTATAGTGTGCACGGCCTATTGCTACTGGTTGTAAACTTTCATGCATGCTTTCCTTATTGGTTCTCTTGTGTCAGTTTCACATGCCAAGTTTAGTGGTCTGTTATCGCCACCTAGTGGCCTTTTATGGTATTTGCTGGTTCATTATGTATTATATGTAGCTTGCCTGCACTAAACTCTAGCAGCAGCTGCAATCTTACTTACTTGGAGGTTTTACCATGAAATTACTAATTACACAATTTATACCATTCCTTTATGTGCAAATTAATCTTAGCTCTGTTAAAAAAATTTCTTTGATCTCCACAGATCGCCCATTTTGTCATATATTACTGCTAAATTGCAAAACCCTGGTTCTTGTCCTTTAATCCAGGTATAGTATATTTTACTTCAGTTTCTGTTTTGTCAAAGCCTCAGGCAGCCTTCACTTTACATTTGTCACTCTATATCGAATCACTCGTTCAGAACCCCAGGAACTCACGCTGCGCTCATACGTCACGCTCACTCAGATCTACATCTGTCTCAAACCCTTAGGTTTCTTCTACGATATCACCAACCGCTTTGCCTCTTCTAAATTGCAAAACCCTGGTTCTTGTCCTTTAATCCAGGTATAGTATTTCTTTTACTTAAGTTTCTGTTTTGTCAAAGCCTCAGGCAGCCTTCACTTTACATTTGTCACTCTATATCGAATCACTCGTTCAGAACCCCAGGAACTCACGCTGCGCTCATACGTCACGCTCACTCAGATCTACATCTGTCTCAAACCCTTAGGTTTCTTCTACGATATCACCAACCGCTTTGCCTCTTCTAAATTGCAAAAACCCTGGTTCTTGTCCTTTAATCCAGGTATAGTATTTATTTCACTTCAGTTTCTGTTTTTTCAATGCATCAGGCAGCCTTTACTTTACACTTGTCACTCTGTCTCGTATCACTCGTTCAGACCCCCAGGAACTCATGTTGCGGTCATACGCCACACTCACACAGATCTACATCTGTCTCAAACCCCTTAGGCTTCTTCTACGATATCACCAACCGCTGTGCCTCTCTTCCAAAAAATACTCAAAGGTTCAAGTTCCCGGGTGTAACCACTATCAAGGTTAGTATCCACCCATTACATAATTTTCCAATTTATCCCATCGATGATACGTGAACTGGCTCACAGGGCTCCAGACCTAGCTCACCGAGGCATTTACAGGCCCCACAAAGCCATCTCCCACCTCAACACGGAGGTACGGCCCCACGTCCAAATCATAGTTAAACACCTCATTCGCTCTTCTACAGAGCCGCAGTCAGGGCCTCACTTTCCACGGCCACACATTTTGAATCTTTTAAATGTCTTCGAGAGGCCAACATCCCGCCACCACATCTGTGGCAACGTACTTACCTCGGCCAAATCATAGATAGAGCCTCTCACCGCCACTTGGCACTAGTAGGGCCTCATCTGGCACTAGTCAAAGTTACGTTTTTCGCTTCGGCAATAGCCTTACAGTCCAGTTCACCTGGGGAATTCCCCCTACCCCCCCCCCCCTTTTGTGTCAATTTCTCAGACGCCCCTACTAAATCCAATTAATTAATTCATTTCTAGAATGTCTCAAGATACAGCTCCCATTGACGAGTTGCCTACCGATAAGATACCATTCGCTCCTATCAGACCCGAGTCTCCTGGCGTATCTCTCGCCCATTCTACCCCTACGTCTTTGAGAGCATGGACTATTCCAAAAATTACGACCGAACTTAGGCTTAGGGGCATCCCCTTTCCTGCTACGGCTCATAAGGCGGAACTCTACAGACTTTTGACCAACCAGGCCCCTGAGCCTAGACCAGGCACTAGCTCTCAAGGTCAACCATCTGGCACTGGCACTGGCACAGCCACCCAGGACACCCTTGCGGCAATCCTGGCTAACCTGCAGACCTTGAACAGCAGGTTAAGCAAGGTGGAGAGTGCCATCGCCTCCCCAGGTAACCTTCCTGACCTCTCCGCCCTCACCCCTGCAGTACCTGTGGCACCAACACCCACCCCTATACTTCCCCCTTCAGCTCCTGCCTCAGATAAGTCTCCTTTTGTGTCACCAGCTCACTCCGTCCCAGACTCCATTAGGAAAGAAATCCTGGATGGGAAGGACGTGTGTCTGGTGTCATTGCTTATAGCCTCCCAAGACGTGCTGGAGAACAGGGCTCATAACTTTGGGGATATTTCGGTGGTTCTTAAAACCAGAGACCCTAGGCTCAACAAAAAATTATCTATTCCCAATTTCGTTTTGGCTTTCGGGATATACCGAGATGTCATCTGCTCGGTATATCCCCACAGGAGAGAGGAACTTCTATCTCCATAAAGTGGTGGATTTGGGCGTCAAGTACGGGGGCTCATTTTTTAATGACTATCATAAATCGATATCAGCAAAAGCAGCGACACATCTGAAACAATTTAACATAGAATTAACTGGTGTCAGATGGATACAGAATTATTCTGTCGCCACTTCGCTGGTCTGAGGCCCCCGTCTTGTGCCATATGTAATTCTTCAACTCACTTGGCTGATTTGTGCCCTTCTGTGGCTAATCCATCCACCCCCACTCCCACCCCTCAATCCACTTCCACTCCTCACAATAAACATGAGGGTGGTCAGCGGGATAAACTGGGTAGGCCCATCTCCTTTCTAGGGAAAGCTCAGGTGTGCAACAATTTCAATGCAGGTTCCTGCAGCTTCAGCGCCTGTAGATTTTTTGCACATCTGCTCGATCTGTTTTCACACTAAGACCTTGTGCCCGGCTAGGTTGTCCCCTAGCAAGTGACTGACATTAATATTGACAACCTGTTTTTTTACTTGAAAACTCATCCAAGTAGACATCTAGTGGAATATTTGTTAACAGGGTTCACCGAGGGCTTTCTCACAGGTCTCGTAGCCATCCCCTCAGGCACGCTGGAATGCCCCAATCTTCTATCAGCCTGCCTACACCCAGAGGTCACAGACGCTCTCCTTTCCACAGCAATAGCACAAAGTTTCATGATCGGCCCCTTCACCTCCTCACCGTTTTCCTCCTGGCGCACTAATCCAATTGGCATAGGTGTGCACAAATACTTGAATTAAAAAGTGCATGATTATCGATTTATCGGCACCGCACTCTTCTTTTGTTCCCAGCATTAACGCACTCATTCCCGCAGATGAATTCTCACTACAGTACGTAAAAATTGACGACGCTATACAAACCATCATTTGTGGTTTGAAGTGATGTGTTGGGTTTGCGCCACACATAGCGTTTTCTTTGATGGCCAAAAAGTTTAATTTTAGTCTCATCAGACCAGAGCACCTTCCTCCATACATTTTGGGAGTCTCCCACATGCCTTTTCGCAAACTCAAAATGTGCCATTTTGTTATTTGCTGAAAGTTATAGCTTTCTTCTGGCCACTCTGCCATAAAGCCCAACTCTATGGAGCGTACGGCTTATGATTTTCACATTGAGAAGCACGCAAGCGCCTCTAGCGGCTGTCAATGAGACAGCCACAAGAGGCTCTAGAGGCTGGATTAACCCTCAGTGTAAACATAGGAGTTTCTCTGAAACTGCTATGTTTATATAAAAAAAAGGATTAACCCTAGTTGGACCAGGCACCCAGATCACTTCATTAAGCTGAAGTGGTCTGGGTGCCTATAGTGGTCCTTTAACACATTCAGGCAATTATGGTTATCTGAGGTTTTAGAAATCAGGGAGACCAGTTACTTCACCTAGACTGAAAGCTACAACTTAGGCTGCTCTATGCGAGTATTCATAGGATTCAGTCCTTATTGGGTTGAGTATATCTACAGAGATATCTTATTGAGAAAGCTAGCCATATGGTTTTCAGTAACAATATAGGAATAGTGGTCAGCAGTGGTTGTGGTGCCCTATTATTCTAGTGGAACTACGTCTCCAACAAGTTATACACTATTCAAAAGGGTCTATCCTTCCACATTATTTGGTTCAGTTTTTAATCTTTATTTAAATTCCTTTTTGCCTTTGTTTAATCATAATTTGGTTCACCTTCTATATATTTTTAAGCTATCCCAATAAAAGCTATATTTTAATCCACACCAGATGCTATAGGGACCTCCTCTTTGTCCTATGGGTTTTTCCCTGGAGGATATTAGTTTTTTGTTTCCATACTATTCAAGGGTTATCCCCTTGGTGGTCCCTTTACACACATTACTAGTTCCCAAGTGGAAACTAGTGTTCTGTTTTTTTCAACAATACCATAAGGCTGACATCAGAAAGGTTTCAACAGCTACACCATGACATGGGAACAAATCAGCATTAATGGGTCTCTACCACCGACCTGTAAACCGATCTCCACGTGCTATAAAATGCTCTCACCACATATCCCTTTTGCTAATATTACAATGGCACAACATTGGGAATCTGATTAACAGTGCACAATTTTCCCTAAGCAATGGGACTATATTCTCACTTTACCAATAAAAATGATTAAGTCGTCCGCCTACATTGAGCAGCACTATAAGAGAGTGTATAGATGGTACATGGTACCTAGCAGACTACACAAGTTGTATATATCTACCTCTGCAGGATGCTGTTGATTTGACAGGGAGAAGGGCATCACCTTACATGTGTGGTGGTCCTGCCAGTATATTCAACTCTTCTGGAGGAGCATGCATAACACAGTGAAGGAGTTTACTGGCTGCGAGATCCCTCTCTTGCCTGAAACGTATCTTCTGCTGAATCTATCTGCAAGTGTACCTAATTTCAAATTGAAATTGATAATAGATCTAGTCTTAATGGCACAAAGACTAATTGCATTTGCCTGGAAATCAATCACGCCACCGACCCTAAGGAATTGCTCTCAGAATTAGATACAAAAAGATCCTATGAACAAGGTCTCAAAACACTATTCCCTCATTCACTAGTAGCTTTAAAAGTGGGACTATGTGGGACTCGTGGAGATCGGTCGACAGATGAGTTCTGTATTAAATTTATATTGTAAGAATGTTGCTATACTGTATTTAAAAAAACAAAAGTCTATTGCCATCCCTGCTACAATTTTATTTGAAATTATGTTAGTGTTAAACTTGACCTACAGCCGTAACATGCAAGCATGTATACCCAATGGACTATTTCTTAATATCACATTTGTACGCTGCATACTTTGTTTATGTGCTGAGAAAGTCCCCCCTCCTTTATTTTCTGTATCCCTCGATTATTTTACAAAACCAATAATAGGGAAGTATTACTTTACTGAGAGGGTAGTGGATGCATGGAATAGCCTCCCAGCTGAAGTGGTAGAGGTTAACACAGTGAAGGAGTTTAAGTATGCATGGGATAGGAATAAGGCTATCATTGACTTAAGATAAGGCCTGGGATTAATGAGAATATTAAGAAAATTGGGCAGACTAGATGGGATGAATGTTTTTTATCTGCTGTCACATTCTATGCTTCTATGTCTATGTTTCTAAACACACTAATGATAAAAATATCAGAGCTGTGGACAAAAACCCCCAAAAAACGACCAATGCGCTAAAGCATGCAAAACGTGAAGTTAAATTCTACACTGCCTGTTGAACTAAAAAGCACTTACAAGTAATATTCAGACTTCAGCTGAGGCCACAAGTTTTCTAGTCTGTCCCCTTTACAAAGAAATCTAAATGAAAAATCAGATCTGATAAATTTAGGTAAATTCTGGTAAAAGATTATCTTCATATCTGAGACAGCTTTGTGCTTATGTGCCATTGTCTAATGTATAAAAGTATTGCTCCTATCATACAATGCCATTTTTTCCACTTTTTCTGTATTACAACAAAATAATCCATCTTTGCGACACTTAAAAAAGAACATTTTATATTGTGACTGTAATGAATGATAACATCATCAAGAAATAAGAAGTAAAAATAACAGCGGAATTAAGTGTCGCAAAGATGGATTTTGGATCACTAGTTTGTATGCTTCGAGTTGGTATGAATTGTATTTATCTAATTATAAAATGCTGCTAACACACTCTTGTGCTGTACCCCAACACACAAAACAGAGTCAAAAGAAAAATGTAAAATAGGAGTGGAGCAGTGTATTAAAACAACAATTTAGGTGATATACCCTGAGACCAATCTCGCCACTGTGCATTGGAGGAGCCTGGTTGCCCGCCTGCTGCCTTTAGACTATGGCCCCATGTTGAAACGCTTGATTTTCCCCTGCAAAGACATGAAAGCCGGGTCATTCGGTGCTTGGCCTGTTGAGCGGTGATAACCCAGATAGCTATGCCATGGAGCCTATTCGTGTAATAAAAGACTTTGGCTCCATGCCAATTGAACTGTATGTGTGTGGTCTGGGAGCCAATCAGTAATAATGTGCGCTCAGACCTAAGCTACATGTCTGTATTTTATGTAATAAATGTAACCTTGTGTATTACAGTGTATTACTGTCTTTTTACTGCCATGTGCTTAACGGAGTTTTGCCTCTGTCCTTGAAGATAATTGGATTAATTCCCAATTATCTCCAGGATAGAAGCCTCTGTGGAAATGTAAGTTTTATGTGAATGTGATGCATACTTTTAAAGTTATGAATAATGTGGAAAAACTGTATTTCTCTGCCGGTGATAATTACATTACCCATTGTGTAAGGTAATTGTATCACAGGCAGAGGGGAGGATTTTGTGTGGGAGTGTCTGAGTGTATTGTATGTGTTTATTGGTTGTTTTCCAAAACCCTGTGGGTGGTACTAATGTGTATATAAGAACAATAAACCCACAGCTCTGTTTGTTACTGCTTGACCCTCACAACAGAGCCTTGTCTCGTTCTTGGGGGGGATTTATTGTATGCTGTTCTAATTCGACTGCTAGGAGTGTAAACCTATTCATATGGTTTTTCCTATTCGGCTGTTTACGGCATTCATATGGTTTCCTGTTCGGCAGATTGGTGTTCTGCAGTAGCTGTGCCTGTGTCTCTGGAAGGGAAGATCTACTAAATGGCAGTTTAACCCCTTTTATGTCTGGGGGTGCTGTTACATACCCAAAGCAAAGTGGTTAGACTATGAAAAATAGAAATGCTTGTGATTTTACTTAATGGGCAGCAGATGGCCCCAGATCAACACATCTTACAGCATATATGTAAAAAAAAAAAAAAAAAAAGTTATAAACACAGATAATAGTGCAGACGAGAGGGAGAGGGAGAGAGATTTTCCCATAAAAAAAGTACCCATACACTTGGGCTAAGGAAATCGAAGTTATAATTATCATTTAAATACTATAGAATTACAACCCAAATGTTATGTCCAGTAAAGTGCAGATAAGTTTATTCCATTTGAATCAGTAATATAAAAAAAAAAAAAAAGCAAACACACTGTCTCTTACAAAAGAGCATGGTGAGTGCGCTTGGCATAAGCCGTTACTCACTGCCAGGCTTATTCAAAGTTCATCTGGTGGTGGTGCTGGAGTGGCTGGCTCAAGGTAGCTTGTGTGCTCGGGACACAGTGATCCGGTTTCACTGTAACACGAGCGGCGTTTGTGTAATTCTTCCTGAGCTCTCTGCAGACTCCGCCCCCACGTATGATGTCAACGCGTTTCGCCGGTCATGTCCTGAGTAAGCCAGGCAAGATTCATTCAGAATTTGAAGGATTTTTGTGTTTATTCCTTAAAAGAAAGGCAGTAAAAGCAGCTTACTTGTTTCACAAAATCTTCCACTGAAAAAAAATTGTTGGAAACAAGGCACACTCATGCATCTCTTTTTTTTTTATAAATCATCACTGCCACCATTAAAGGAACATTATAGTGTTAGGGATACAAAACTGCATTTCTAACACTATAGTATCCCTCTCTATAGAAGTCCTTTGGCGCTGACGCTGTCTCCACTTCCTTCTCTTCCAATGTCAACATCAAGGGGTACCTCATGCGCATGTGCAATGAATTTCAGGCACATTAGGCCTTCCCCATAGAAATACACTAAACAATGCTTTTCTATGGGGGATTTGAACAATTCATTGATAAATTTGTTTTTTGAAAATCAGTGCTTGTGCTGCCTAATTATCACTATTCCCAGAAACTTATGTTCAGGTGATTACATAAGATATTTTATTGACTCACAGCAATGTGGCTCAATCCAGGCAACATTTCAGTTATTACATTAACTGCTTAGTCATGCTCCTACATTATACTCACACATGCCAGAATGAACAATAAACAAACCTATGTCAAAAAAATTAGGCTTGAGGCACTGTAACAATGTTGCTTGTAAAAAGAATTACAAGGAAGTCAACCTAATTTGAAGCGGCTCTGCCGCTCCCCGCATTAACGGAGTATTTCATAAAGATAAAATCCTGCAGCTATAAGAAGTCCGTTCCATAACCAGGAAGAATCCTGCAATTGGAAACACCTCATTCTGGTCTTTGGGCAGTATATTCTTATTCTATAAACTCCTGTCCAGCAGTAGATTACAGGATAGGTCTATGAGCACCAAACGACAAAGTCACAGTCAACACTTGGCTCTCTCTGGGCATTTTATAAATGTTAGCAGTTCTCTTTGCCACCGTACGCTCTGTGCTATCAACTTTGAAATTATGGGTCGAACGATGATTTTTTGTAAGCACAGTTAAATTTGTGATGACCGAATAAAAAACCATTTGCACGACTATTTTGATAATTGTGAGTGCCCCCTATAGTTCACTTTTTTTATATATATTCAATGCAGGATTGCACCCAGGCTATATACACAAATGTTTTGCATCTCTTCCTGAGTTGTGTTTCAAAGCTGTTGTACAGCAAACACAAACACCAAGGAATCCATGTTTAAAATGGAATAATAAGGTGAAAAGTGATTCTTTGTTGAACAAATTTGCATATGACCATCCAGAATCCCTTGCAGTAGTAACATCACGTGTGTGAGAGGGCAGTCTGTGTGTGTGTGTGTGTGTGTGTGTGTGTGTGTATGAGGGGGCAGTGTGTATGTGTGTGTGTGTGTGGTGTAGTGTGTTTTTGTGTGTGAAGGGTGCTTGTGTTTGTTTGTGAAGGTCTATGCTGCGTGTAGGTGGGTGAGATGTCTGCAGGCGGACTTTCTGGTCCTCCTGCGAGCACAGCACTGTATCGGAGCATTGCCATGGCAACGCTCTGACCAGCCTGCTCGTTGGCGGAACACAGAGCCTCCCAGGTCCTTCCCTCCCTCTCAGGGCTGCCATCAGAAATTTTGGGGCCCCTGACACAGCCCCAGTCAGCCACAGGGATGCAGTGTCTGCAGGGCCGGTGCAAGGATTTTTGCCGCCCTAGGCAAAAGTAAAGTTTGCCGCCCCCCATGTGACATCACAATGCCCCACCCATATGATCTGCCATGTTAACTAACACCAGTGCTGCAGTGCCGTGTTTACATAAAAGGCCTGCAGGGACAGGCTAGACACCAGAACCACTACATTAAGCTGCAGTGGTTCTGGGGACTATAGTGTCCCTTTAATGTGAGGTAAATTAGAGATTAGTGCCACGAATAATATACTAGATTGCCTACTTACAACCAGATGAGGATGATGATGGGCTCTAGCTGCCGTCTGGCTCCACTGGTCTGGTGTAGAACAGGCTCTCTGTTCCCTCCCTCTCCCCCCCACTCACTCCCTCAAATTTCCTCCCTTCCTCTCCTCCCCTCAAATTTCCTCCCTCCCTCCCCCC